GAAGAGAAGATTATAATCTTTATTTTTATTACCTCTAAAGCTATCTTAAATTATAACGTTAAAGAGATCTTTAAGTACTCTAGTAAATTAATTAGTAAGTATATTATTAATATAAAATAGCGATAGAGTTAATACTTATTAATTTATAAAGCTTTTTATAATATTTTAGATATACTACTTAAGCTATATATATAGTTCGTTAAATTACCTAATCTTAATACTCTAATTACCTCTTTAATTAGAGATAATTCTAGGTTCTTTTCTTACTTTAAAGATTACCTTAGAGCTCTTAATAAAACCTATATTAAAGCTTATATACCTATAGAGTTCTATAGACTATATTAAAATAGAAAGAGGTATCTCTCTTAGAATATTCTCGTAGTATATAACTTTAATATAAATTTTATTTATATCTTAGCTAGATAGAAAGAATCTATATATAATACTCGAGTACTATAGAACACTTAATTATCTTATAAATTTATTACTCTACTTAATAAATATTAGCTCGAGGACGCTAGGTATACTAATTCTAAGTTTATAATAGCGCTCTACTATAGTATATAATATTACCTAGTAAAGAATCGGTTAGTAAGCCGTAAGCTAGAGAATATATAGAAGCTTTTTAACTTAAAGTATATAATAATAAGAAATATAGTAGAGAGAATATTTAGTATAAATAAAAGAAAGTTTAAGATCTTAGATACTATTATAAAGTATTTAATTAATATCTAAAACTACCTAGTTCTAGTACTATTAGGGCTCTATAATTTTATTCGATCGTAAGAGAGTAATAGAGTAGATAATCTAGAGAATAAGAATAGTATAGAGCTATAGATCGAGGGTAGTAATAATAAAGAATTAATTAATACTTAAAATAGTAGAGTATAATATAGAAATAAAAAGATAGATAAGTTAAGAGATAAAATTAGTTAGTAGATATAGAAGAATTATTAGTTATATTTAAATAGAGACCTATAGAAAAGTAGCTATTATATATTAGAATTATAGCGAAATTATACGATTCTTAAGAAAAGAAGTTTAATAGTATTACTATCTAGTATTACTATTATAATTAGAAGAGGTTATTATTTTAATATTTTATTAATAGGTAAAAAAAGTAATAAATTTAATTATAATATTTAAGATATCTTTTAAACTTCTTATATAACTAAATTACTCTAATAAAACTAATAGACTAATTATATATCTTTTTACTAAATAGTAATATACTTTATATAAATTATATATATATTTATAGCTATTTTATTACTATATTAGTTTTTAGAATATATTAAGTTAGAAAGAAGAATTATATCTTCGAAGTATACTACTAAGTAATATTCTAATACCTCTTAAAGTATTTCGATAGCTATACTTTAGAATTATATATTAGATTTTATATAAATATTCTAAGTAATCTTATAAACTAGACGTTAAAAGACAAGTTTAGAGAGAAAGTAGCCTTTAGCCTTTTAGTAATATTAGATTTCGCGAAGTACTTAAGCTTTAGAGATATTAGATATTACTATTCTATATTACTATTAAGGATTACTTACTTCTTACCTTTATATAGTAATTATCGTAATATACTTATATCTTTAGAATTTGTTTTAGTTAATTCTTTTTACGTACTATTCTAGCGATTTAAAGTTTTAGAACCTATTAGGCGTTACTATTAAACGTTACTATTTCTTAGATAGATAACTTATAGATTAAATACTATTAAGTATAAAGAGCTCTAGTTTTCTTAGAGAGAGTCGATCTTTATATATTATAAGATAGTATTATAAATTATCTTATTATCTTATAAATTATTCTATTATATTATAAATTCTTCTATTATATTATAAATTATTCTATTATACTATAAATTTCTAACTCTTACTTAAATTTCTAATAATAGCTAATATATAATATAATAGAAGGATTTATAGAAAGTATAATAGTATATTAATATAATATCTCGATATTTCTAATAATCTTATAAAATATAGGTTCTTTCTATAAAGTTATCGGTTTTCCTTAATAATTATTATTAAACTCTATTATTCTAACTATAACGCCTACTAGTAACGCTTACCTTTCTAAATACCTTTAAAATATCTTCTTTTAACGCCTACTACTAATAAATATATAAAAAAACCGCTAAGTTTATTAAGTAAGTAAGGTAGGCCGATTATTTAATAAAGTTCTACGTATAAGCTATCGCGAAATCTAAGCCTAGCTTCGAAAATCTCTCTAAAGCTAATTAAGATACTATAATTAAAGCCGTAGAGAATACTATTATAGAGTCTTACTATAGTAATAATAAGGACGCTAATTTAAAAATAACTATTTATATTAATAAGAAAAGTATTAAGCTATAAACTATTAAAGACAAGAAGATAGAGGAGTTAAAGAAGAACCTAGAAGCTTATATAAGTACTTTTATAGATATATTAATACTATAAGTATTACTATAAAGCGTTACTAACTAGTATTATATAGGGCAAAAAGCGTACTATTATTAAGAATAGTAATAATAATAATAATAAAGATAAGAAAGAGTATATAATTAAAAAGATCTTTATAGACTATATAGTCTCTTTAGTAGAGAGATTAGAAGTAGAGATTATAGCTAGTAGTAGTATAGCTATTAGAGTTTTAGAAGAAGAATTAGCTATATTTACTTAGTAGGTTTATAACTCTAACTTTATTTAGATATATATAGAGAATAATAAGAAGAATAATAATATTAAGATAGAGAATAATAATATAGGCGAAGAAGAGAGTAGTAATATAGAGAATACTAATAATAAGCTTTTAGTTCTAATTAGTAACGATAAGAAGAAAGAGAATAAGATAATAGAAGAAGATCTTACCTTTATTATAGATAACTAGTTTTTATTTTTTACTAGTTATTAAATTACAAATTATAGACAATTCTAGAACTCTAAGCGTTACTATATAGCGTTACTATTATTATATAGTACTAATTAAGAAACTATACCTTACTAGAGTATTATAACTAAAGTTATTAAATCTCGCCTCTTAATAATATAAATACTTAAGCTACCTTAAAATTTATTAGAAACTTAATAGCTTTAATTATCTAGACTATATTTAATCTATTACTATATTTGTCTTATAATTTCTTTAAAGCCTTTACTATAGAGGACGTTTAAAGGTTAACTTAGAGAGCGTTAGTTTTCTATATTTAAGTAAAAACCCTCTCTTAGTATTTATAAGTTAGAATCTAGTTCTAAGTATACTTCTCTAGGAATTTCTTATTAATAGAGTCTTTCTTCTTTTTAGATACTTATACTCTTAAACTAATAGAAGCTAGAGTATTAGGTCCTCTACCGCGATTTCGTTATAGTATAAGATCTAGAACTATAGTAGGAGGTCTAGTTAAAGTATAGAGTACTAGATTAAGGAAGAGATTATCTAAATTAAAGTCTTTATCGAGATATTATTCTAAGTTATCTATACCTCTATTTTAATAAGAAAAGTAGATTATATAGACTCTAGTTATAATCCTATTCTTATAGATCTTATCTAATATATTATAGTACGTAAATAAGTTCTTTTTATAGTACTTAATTCTTTTCTATAAAGGTAACTATTAAGTATATAAGTTAATTATTAAGTAATAGATCTTTATTTAAAACCCTTACTTTTTAAGCCTTATTCTAGACTCTATCTACGACCTTAGGTACGTTCTTTTTATTATTCTAACTCTATCTAGATTAGTTCTTAATCTATTATAGATTAAGATAATAATATCTCTCTATATTCTCCTTACTCTTAAGTTTAAGAGCCGTAACTATACCTTAACCTAAATATACCTCTTTAACTATAAGTACTACCGCTCGTTACGTCTCTAGCTTAAATCTAATATCTAGCTTCTTACTCTTTTAAATATAGTCTAATAAGGTAGTATATATAGCGAGAACTATATTCTAAGTCTAAACGATATTATCGCTCCTAGCGGATAATTTCTAGGTATCTTAAGGCTCTAGATCTTAAGTATTAGATCTAGGTAGAGGTAATAGTATAGAACTAGATAGAAGAGAGTAATTAATTTCGGTAAAGAAATAAAGACTAGGTTAAGAGTTATTATAATAAGACTACGTAGTATCTTTATTATTTAAGCTAGGTTCCTCGACCTTATTATAACCCTTATTCTTAAGTACCTTAAGCGCCTTCCTAGATAGTTTACGGGTTCTAGTATCTACCGCCGCTTTCGATACCCTCCTAGGAGCGGCTTTATTCGTATTTACTTTCTTCTTAGGTACTATAGTTACTTAATAATTAATTAATAAGAAAGAAGTCTTAATTATAAAGAAATCTTAATTATAACGTACAAGAGGCGACGATAAGGTTATACCCTTACTAGACTTAGCGCTACTATATATCGTAGAGACAAGTTCCTACCTATATACTAAAGAAGAATAGACTAAAAATCACCCCCTACTAGCCTAATGCTTAAATCTAGCAATTTGACAATTATTGTCAAATTGTTAGGTGAGTAAACACGGCCTAAGTTGGACCGTGCATTGGGATAGGAACTCGGTTATATGAGCTGATAAGAGGTGATTTAAGCAAGCTTTATTTTCCACACCTCGTGAGAGGGGTTTTGCGCAGATTCCTCAGTGTCCCTGGCGTTACTATTGGCGCCATCGCCTGCATGGAATGCTTAAGCCACCAATATTACGGACAACCTGCCGACTTGTCAGGTTTGCTGCGTCGGTGTATCGAGTGCAGGCCGTCTCAGCATCGTAGTAGCTACTTCTTGGGCTACGCCATCTACAGTCTGCATCTGACCCTATCTTTTTGTGCTCTCTTGATATAAGCCGTGCGCTGGCTTGCCATTCCACGGTTTCTTTCTTCTCTCCTCTCACTTATTCGTTTCTATAGCTATTTCGCAGAAGGCAGTTCATTCATTCTTGATGAGCACTGGCGACACTAGTGATTAGCAGAAAGACGACTTCTTGAGACTAAATACGAATATCACAATGGTCTCCCATAGCCCCCCAACATCCGGCCACCCTTCGACCGAAAATGACACCAAGGACGTCAGCGAAAATTATATCTCAGAAAAACCTTCAACCTCGGAACTCAAGCATAGCGTGGACGTGATCCATGGCAATGCATCGAACGACAAATCCGTCGACACAAACTTCCAACCTGGTGTGCAAAAGGCTGAAGCGATCACAATTGCTTGGTCGTTGAAAGCCTTGATTATGGCCTATGTCGTGATTTGGCTTGTCTACTTTGTCCAAGGCATCGTCACTGGAGTCAGCGGTGCTCTACTCCCCTATGTCACTTCTGACTTTGCGGCACACTCACTTATCCCTACAACGGGTGTGGTGAGCCAGGTGGTCGGCGGAGTCACAAACCTCTGTATTGCAAAAGTCCTGGACATCTTCGGTCGTCCCCATGGGTTCATACTATGTGCGTTCCTCGCGACCATCGGCCTCGTCATGGCAGCTTCCTGCAACGGCGTCGAAGCATATGCTGCATCCCAAGTCTTTTATACAGTCGGAATCAATGGTCTCGGTTACTGTCTCAGCGTTTTTATTGCCGATACATCTTCACTCCGTCATCGAGGTCTTATGCAAGCCTTACTCAACTCGCCATACCTAATTACATCGTGGCTTGCTGGTCCAATCTCTACATCATTTTTGAACGGTTCTGGTTGGCGGTGGGCTTTTGGAATGGAGAGCATTCTTATTCCGGTAGTCGCTCTTCCGCTGTTTGGACTTTTCATGTTTCACTACAAAAAGGCCAAGAGAGAAGGCATTATCCCAGCTCGCACGCAAAGCGGACATACACGCTGGCAATCTGTAATGTACTATATCGATGAGTTTGACGTTGTTGGGCTACTGCTTATATCTACGGGATTTGCCTTCTTTCTCTTGCCATTCAATCTTTACACCATGGAAGCCAAGGGTTGGAGTTCCCCTCTCATCATTAGCTTTCTCGTCTTTGGAATCTTGTTCATAGCTGCGTTTGTCGTCTGGGAAAGATTCTTTGCTCGGGTCTGTGTAACCCCGTGGGCAATACTTCGAGACCGCACAGTCCTTGGCACTTGTATGGTGGGTTTCGTGCTCTTTGTGAGCGCAACTTGCTGGAATTCATATTTGAGCTCTTTCCTTCAAGTGGTCAATGGTCTGAGCGTAACTCAAGCAAGTTACATAGTTCAGTCGGGTACGGTCATATCAGTCATCGCGAACCTTGTTGCTGGAGTGACTATCTCATATTCCGGGCGGTACAAACCGATCAGTCTTTACTTCGCCCTGCCTCTGATAGTCCTTGGTACAGGTCTGCTGATAAACTTTCGACAACCCGATCGAAATGTGGGGTACATCGCCATGTGTAACATATTTGTCAACTTTGGGTTCGGGATTTTGATGCTCACAGTGGAGATCGGCCTTTTAGCTGCCGCTGCCGTCCAGCAATATTTCGCTATCAGTATTGCTCTGTTGAACCTGTTCTGCTACATCGGGAGTGCCGTCGGTTTTACAATCTCTGCTGCCATCTGGCAAGGCACGTTTCCAGAGAAATTAGCTTTATACCTCCCTCCCGAGAGCCAAGAGAATCTTACTACCATATATAGTTCTATCGAGGAACAGCTCTTCTACGAATGGAACTCGCCTACTCGTTTGGCAATTCAACATGCGTATGCAGACACATGGCGGCTTCTGCTGATTACTGGTGCGGCAACCTGGGCCCTGGGGCTGGTAGCCATGCTTGTGTGGAAGAATACGAATGTGAAGGGCGTTAAACAAAACAAGGGCTATGTTGTATAATTCCGGTGCTGACATGAAACACTATCTTTTATTCCATTTCTGGAAAGGGTTTCCTACGTGATGGTTTTTCTGGATGGAAATCAAGAAAGATAACGGCAGGTAGTTAGGGCAATTACATATATGTTGCTAGTTTCACGCGACAAAAGTCGTCCCACATGTATCTGAATCATCTTTTAAGAACAATGGCCTTTAGTGTAAATGCTTGAGTTTAATGCCTCCTCTGTGGTGTTGTATGTGCGATAACAATCGCTGAATTGCCGGTGACTTAGCCAACCACAATGACTGCCGGTTCAATAGTTTTAGAGATACGGATGTATATATTATGGAGTCCGCTGGTGAGACTACATCGCAGAGCGCAGTTTAGGATACATGGCCACCTGGCGACTGGTTGAAGACGCTGCTGGCTGGGATTAAAGGAAAGAATTATGTTTCAAGTGTACACCATATCCACGACTGTCTTTGTTTATCTATGATAAAAACAAGCAGTGGAAACTGTGAGCAGATTTTCGCGCGTGTTTCTGGTTGCTAAAGGCGCAGTCCGTGCTAATTGACACATCGCCACTGTGCACTTGCTGGAGATTTTTCGATTTATCGCGTGCGAGAGTCTTTATGGCTTTTCATCGATATTTTTTGTTTAGACCATATCCGTTAACGAGCCAAAAGGAAGAAGTAGCACGTGCATTAAATCTAAACCATTATGGCACATATGGACACTTGTTAGTACGTTTACGAGCAGTTGAATGTCGAATACAAGTATGTCTAGTGACTTTTTTTACCCAACGCTCAGAAGAATACAGGACCTGCAATAATTCAGACAGCAATTGAAGGTCCACTGCTTCATTCAAAGCTCGTTAAAAATTCCATGTGACCGAAAAGAAGAATTCCTGAGACGATGTAGATTGTGAGATGATATAAACTTTGATCTCCTCAGACGGACAATGTAAATTCTATTAATCCATTTCCTTTCCAAGAAAAAATAAAAATAAAAATAAAAGAATTGGAAGAAAGGAAGAATGGTGGTGAGTTCAAAGACATGGTGAAATATGCCGTCGAGAAGGGCCTCGAATAAAGCGGCGATTCACTGACGAACTGAAAGCTTATGGCTGAACCTCGATTCCTTCATTACTCATTGAGGAGAATGGCACTAATGCTATTCTGACCCTTATTACAACCCGTTAATAGTATCTCGGATATAAGATCGAGATTCGAGATTTGAATAATTGTATATGTAATACAATTGTAAACGCCGTTGCTGCCTACCCAGTCCTTCATAATCACACGACTAAGCTGAATCAACTTTAACCGACCAAATATTTGCGAATGGGTCCCACTCGTGATCCAAATGTCTATCATACTCCATTATATTCGCGACTGACTCTGCTCTCTCAGGGCCATACAACATCTTGATAAACGCAAAAGTGACATCAATGCCCGCTGAAACACCCGAAGAACTCCACACTGGTGTGACTCCCGGGGTATCATCAATAACCCATCGAGCTTTTCTTACCCATTTGACCTTTTCCCCAAGGAAAACTACAGTGTTCCAAGTACTTTTGTTTGTTGTCGCTCGCCGATTATCGAGCAGGCCAATACCTGCGAGGATCGCAGAACCGGTGCAAATAGTTATCACGTATTTTAGTTTAGAGAATACGTTTTGAATGTAACATTCAACAGGCGCTCTTTTCACTTCATTACGGGTCCCGAAGCCTATGGGCAATCGTCAGATTGTATTTCAGCTGTGGAGAAATTAAATAGCCTTGTTTGAGTCTTCTAGCGTACTAACCTCCGGGGATGATCAGCACCTCTACGTCAGGTGCATTCGCGAACGTATGGGTTGGCAAAATCTCTTGTCCGAACGATGACGACACAAAGGTGTTTGGTTCGGGGTTGGTTGATACTGGTGTTAATGACTCGGCTAAAATAGCGAGTTCCATTTGGTGGTCGCGAGACAGTACATTTAAGACGCTGAGGGGTCCGAAGACATCTGTAGTTTTCATGGTGAGATCAATACGGATGGCGTGAAGTTTTTCGTGAGATTCTGGAAGAACAAACTGTCGACTTACCAAGCGCCTGAAACCCAGTGAACACGACGATAGCATATTTAGTAGGTGGGTTGCCACTGTATCGTGTCAACGTGAGGTTTCACTAAAGATATGAATAGAAGTGAGGAGAACAGACATCATGTTGAGGAAATGCCCGTTCAAGTCCGGAATATTTATTGAGTCTGGGAAGGCGTGGTTGTGCGATATGGAAAGTTTTGATTGTTAAAGCAGTAAGCTATGAATTGAGCTTCCCGACAGTAAAGCTCCATAAGCACCAGAAGCATCAGCAGAATGTTATGGTTTCACTTTCTCATAGCAACACAATCTCTAACCGAGAAATCCACTAGGTGGGCCTTCAAGATTATGGATATAGCAACAAATTGAGCAGGGAAATTTTACCTCAAAACAATACAGAGATACTCAAAACAGTAGAAGCGTTAGCTGAAGAACTGTTTTTTGGAAAGAAAGTTAAACCAGACGTGATTAAAGTCCGTGGGTCTCAAATATTTCCTAAAAAGTAATTCCGTCCAGCCTATCGTCGTCTAACATCGTGCAAGGTAAACAAATGCCCGTCTTACAATACTCGACCCACCATTTCAAAATTCGCTTAGTACGCAGATTTTCTTCTTTACCCCCACGAGTTCTGCGGCTTGAAATTTGCTCAAACACTCTCGATTGGAAAGCGGCCAAGGCTAGTGATGTCCAATATTAATTTATAAGCTGTAGGCCTTGCAGGCGCTCACATTTGGAAAGTTAAACCTACAGGTACTCGGACTGTCCAAAAATGTGTTCGCTCCACTTTTCATAGGCGACGTCAAGGGTTGTTTGATCCATGATCAGGGTAATTGACCAATATAGCTCTATAGTTCTCGCCCGCTATAATTCCTAAGATAGTAATGAAAAAAAGACCCTTAAAGTGGCGGCGTTGTCGTTAAAGAGGTCTAACCGTAGGGTATTCGAAAGAGTCTACCTAATAAGTACCCCTACTTCTAAAGATAATTAAGTATTTTAAGAGTTTTAAGATATATCCTTCATCGTTCGAAGAAAGTCACATTTCCCTGTATTTCAAAGCGGAGCGAAGACATTTTTGGACAGACTGAGTAATTGAGTAATCGTTAAGACAGCCGAGGAGCCCAGCTCGTAATCCTGCATACCAAAAGGTATGCCAATGTCATACTAGCGATATACGTCTTCGACTGCCATTTGAAAACCACATACATATCTCATTTCACGATATGACCTATTTCGCGCTTCCTTCAATGGCATTAAAATATTCTCTGATCCCATCAATGGTCTTCTCCACCAACGCTTTCTCAATGGCGCACGTCGGCCAAGCAAAGCCAATCGTCAAGCCCTCATTATGGAGGACAACTGTTATCTGCAGACATCCCCCAAGAGCAAATGCACACCTACTAACCGTTGCTTTTCCAGCTCGCCAGGTTAGCTCGGTCCCGGGTTTCACAGCCGAGAAAGGCAAGTGAGGTCCAATGTACGCCAGTTCTATAGATTCAGTGCGGGGTCCACCAATCAATGACTCCAAGAATACTTGAAGGTCTGGGATATTCTTTAACCCGGCGATGTTGAGATATGCTTCCCCAGAGGGTGAAGTTCTTGAGAAATATTTTCTCGTGTCTGTTTGAACCTTCCGAGCGGCATTCCAGATCTCGAAAGTCTCAGTAGTGTCTTGCCCGAAGAAATCCGAGCGAAAAGTTCTGGTTCGGAAGGCATCGAAGAAGTTTCCCATCACGCCGTCGACGACTTTTGGGGGTAAATCAGGCCGTAGATCGACCGGGATATTGACATCCATCGACTCCGTCGTGGCCGGGAGGTTGGTGTATAGCACTTTTCCGATGAGAGCATTGAGCCCAGCAGGTGTGGCCACTTTATTCTTCTTGCATTCTTGTGTGAACACCACAGCTGACGGGAGACAGAGCGTGGCGTATCCAGTATTACTGGGTATTTCAGGGCGATTGCCAAGCCAATCATTATGAAATGTGACATTAGTCGTTGGGGGTTCGTTAGGGATCGGTAGAGAATGTATTGCCTCAAGGGATGGACCTATTCCATCATCATCTTTTGAAAAACTGATGTATTCGACGTTCAAGTCCAGTGAACCGGTGGCACATAGTGCAGAAAGATCATGTAAAGCTTTATGGAAAGATCGGTGTAGGATTTGGAATGATGCTCCATCAGCTATTGCATGATGAGCCATGAAGTTAGCCGTGAAATGCTGCTTTTCTGAAAAATCATGGAGGATGATCAATCTCCAAACCGGCGTAATGCCACGTTCTGATTTGAAATTTGTGTTGACTTGCTGTTGTAAAAGGGCATCAAGTTCAAAATCTCTTCCTTTGCCCTCTTCGGGGATATGGTCTTGCCGGTAGACAAATGAAGTGACCTCTCTCAGATCAATTGACGGTAGGCGAGCATAGTACGACTCTTCCCCCTTCGCAACGATAGGCACTGCAAATAGCGTAGGATATTCCCGAAGAACTTGAGCCAAAGCCAGATATATAAGAGTTTGGAGATCAAGGATCGAGAAGTTCCTAGAACTTTGGTAATGTACCGAATAACCTGCGGTTGTGTAGAGATCCAGTTCATGAGCAACTGCTGCCATTTCCTCCAACTTTCCTTGAAGACTCTGTCAGAAAATTATTTTTAAAATGATCACTTGTGAAACTCGCATACCTGCTGCTCGTAGCCTCGTAAGTTGATCAACTTGCATGATGAAGAGCTCGGTCTTACGCTAGCGCACGCAATGCAATGAATTACCAAATTTATCTTACAATGATCAACTTGTCGTCGAAGTGCAAGCGACGGAAATTTCGAGAATGACAAAAGGTCCATAGATGTGGGCATGGGAAAAGATCCTAACATTTCATTGCTATTCCTTTAGCGTGTCACCTCTGTGTAACTACAGGTCATTCCTAATCGGCTCCCAGGGTCTCTCCCGTGTCCAAAATCAATTACAGTGAATAATGGGCTCAAATCTCCTCACTGCTCACAAGCATTAGCCTTGGCGGCAAGTAGCCTGAAAGCAGCTGACGTGGCGATATCACAGTTACAGGGCTTGAACAGGAGGATTTCTTGGCAATTGTCGCCTTTCATCGTGATGCTCATTTTAGCATGATAGCGAGCAAGAAACACATTTGTGGCGTCTTCAGTTCTGGGTCAGCCGACGGCACAATCCCTCATACCACTCATTCTTTGATGCCCAAAATAAGGGGGTTTCAGCGATCGCCACTTTCAATCAAAGTTAACGGTGTTTCCCCAGCCATTGCAAATCAAAATCAAAACAATCCAACAATATCAACAAGAACTTCCGTCCTGAAACATCAAGATGCAACAATATCCTCACCCATTCAGCCAAGCTGCGAAACTTGATTCAAGAATCACCCTCCCTCGTCCAATCTACGACCCCGATCTTGTACAAATCCTCGATGCGAGTAATATTCCCGAGGAATTCGATCTTGACTTGATGCGCGGTATCTCCAAAGAAGAACACCAATGTGCACACGGCGATGCGGAAACTATGATCTTTAATGCACATACAATTCTCAAAGACAAGCCGTATCTACTCCACAAAGAGCATAAAATCCAGGGCCCTGACCAAAACACAATCATCCTTTCGGTTTTCACACCAAAAGAATCATCCCAAACTCCACGGCCGGTTTTGTATCATATGCATGGAGGTGGTCTAGTCAGCGGTGACAGATTCACAGCCCTTACGCCTATCATTGACCTTCTTGAAGGCATCGATTGCATTGTTGTTTCTGTTGAGTATCGTCTTTCACCAGAGACCCCTCAACCAGGCCCGAGCGAAGACTGTTATGATGGGCTTGTTTGGATTTCAAAGAATGCCATTAGCTTAGGAATTGATCCAGCACGGATCGTACTGTTTGGTATATCCGGTGGTGGTATAGTGGCAACAACAGTGTGTCTCATGGCAAGGGACAGGAAACTATCTTCAATACCTATCAAAGGTCTCATGTTATATGCGCCTCAACTTGACGATCGTTGCGAAACGTTGTCAGACCAACAATTCGAATATGGCAATCCTACTAGCACGAAGTGGGTTCGCGCGTGTTGGGATCTTGTGCTTCCAAATATTCGTGGGACTGATGAAGTCACACCATATCATGCACCAGCTCGAGCTGAGGATTACTCCCATCTACCATCTACCTACATTGATGCTGGCGAGTGCGAGGTCCTTCGCGATCAAGCCGTAAGCTTTGCTACGAACATGTGGCGATGCGGATCCACTTGTGAGTTACACATCTGGCCTGGAGCTTACCATATTTTTGAGATGATCAACAAACCCGATAATCTGCTTATTCAGTCAGCTAAAGCAGCAAAGAGGAACTGGCTTCAGAGGATCATGGCTGCTCGTCCCAAAATTCAAGTTGCTGAGCCTGAGATAGTTGGGCATGATGGACAATGACTACGAAGCGACTCTGCTACAGCAAATTAACATAGGTTTTCCTGAGAACATAACCTCAAATTTATTATATATACTTATCGAACAAACGCGTCTAAACCGTGGGTGATATTTAGACTGTGGCTTCCAGTGTCTTTACCCCTCCGTTTCCATATGTCAGTGTGTATTTGATAAATGAAAGGATGACAAACATTTTCCCCAATCTCTAGCATATCTTGGTAACGCTAACTGCGCGATGTGATAATTTCAATGATAGTTTGAATGAGGACGCTCTTGGAAATGCAATTCAAACTACCAGAAGACCAGAAGCCAGCATTTCTGCATTGATGCTAGAGCGTGATCAGTCTTCATTTGACGTGGGAATCAGACGGCAGTAGATGAGGTCTATATCAAAACTCGGCTTCTGTTACTAGTTTTTAACGAGTGTACATGTGATAAAGCTGTTTCTATTGTCTAAAGCGGATTAAACCTCCCTACAAGCTGTTTCTCAAAGAAGTAACACAATTAGAACGAAATGCAGTACTCTGGTAATCCAATATTTTCCACCGAAGCGACGATAGCAGATCCAACGTGAAAAATTCCACCAAATGTCCCAACATCCAGCTTTGATTAGGACATTTGATTCGTTTGTGAAAGGCAAGCTGGGGTGTTCACAGAAGCATGTTTTGTGAGCCAACACCCACAAAAATCTGACTTTGAAGTATCTGAGAATGGTTGGATGTTTTCCAACGAAATATACTTATAAAAGGTGCCTAAACAAATATTAGACATGATGAGCATCAGCATGAAAAGGTTTGGACTTACGCTGGAGAGCCATCGCATCAAGTGCAACAGCTGATTGCTCAAAGATTTCTGCAGTGTGGAGACTATTGACCGGATCCAGCCGTTTTGGAAACTTTTTCTTCAAGTTCGCCAGTTTACTTTTGATGGCCCAATGCTCAGAAGAATTCTTCCAAATCTCTGACCAAACTTGTGGACCGTCAAATTCAGGGGTGGAGCTAGTGATTTCCAGCATCCATTCTGCGAGATTCTCATCTGCATTACAAGGCCTGGCTCCGTGCCGTTCGAAGTAGCTAGCCACCGTCTTGCAAGAAACACCTATTTTACCAAAATATAGCTGCTTTCCTCCCTCCGCAAGCAAAATTAGCCGATCAAAGGACTGAAGAATTCGTGTCGAAGGTTGATTGACTGTACATAGGATCGCAAGGCCCGTCTGAGCAATCTTACGTAAGAGGGCACATATGGATAAAGCAGCCCGGCTGTCGAGCTCTACGGCGTGTATAACAAGTCAGTGAAATAGATCTTCCATTAATGATGCCAACGTTACTTACTTGAAAGCGGCTGTTCGAGCAAAAGCACGGTTGTAGGCTTGGCAGCAAGCTCAACTCCAATTGCCAGTCGTTTCATTTGTTCGCTGTTCAGACCTGTAAGACAATCAGCAAGCTCCAGAGATCACAATTCTCTGATTACTCACTTTCTCCAGATGCTTCAATAACCGTATCGGCAAGTTTTTCCATACCAATCAAGCTGATCACTTTTTCCACGTAAGTGATCTTTTCAGCATATGGAGTAGTCTTTGGTTGCCTCAACATAGCACTAAAAATCAACACTTCTTTTACTGTTGCCGTAGCGAATTGCAAATCTGGCTGGTGGACAATTCCCGTGGTATTTTTGGACGCCATATCTCGCGGTTTGCCGTTAATTAAAATATCGCCATGAATGATACCAGAACCCGGACAATTCCCGATAATATTGAGCAGAAGCTCTTTGCCAGCACCACTGACCCCCTGGAAGAAAATTTTGAATCAGTAAATTAATGGACGAACAGAAAGAAGGACAGTTACCATCAAAATTGTCATCGTCCCACCCCTGAGCCATCCTTCTACATGATCTAAAACTCGTACTGGCTTGTCGCCCTTTTTGCAATCATAAGTAACGCTTTCCCATTGGAAAAAGTTTTCGTTTCTTTGCGGCTGATGATTCTCTTCAACGACAACTTCCTCGATCAGTTGCGCTGCCTGCATTCGTTGTTCTTCTACGAATTCCTCTTCTGTCATTTCTTGAAAGTAACTTGGACGACCTTTCTCGCTGATGATTTTCATTCTAGGATTCTCCCTGAAGTCCCCCATCGGTGCACTCATCCATTCTCCGTCCGCCATTAGAGCGACACTACAATGCCAAGGAGTCGTAAACCCAGTCTTAGTATTCAGTAGACTCATGGAAACTTTATGCTCCCCGGTAGATTGATGAATAGATAGTCGTAAGTGGTTTGGAAAGTTCTCCTTGATTGCTCCCGCGAAAGCCTATTTGCAGAGGGAAGTGTTAGGAGCTCGGTTCTAAAGATATCTCACACCATTTAACTTACGTATCCTCGAACAAGCATTTGCTTAGCCAAGTACTTGGTCTCTCTTTTGTAGGAGTTACTAGTTCGTGTTCCACCAAGTGTGAAGATATACCTTAAATCTGACATTAAAAATCTTCGATATCCCTGGTAGGTCAGTCGTGTATCCTCGTCACTGGCAATTAGACTATTAACGTCAAGATCATCTCTGCCAAACCTGTTAAGAACAGATCGGCGAAAATTAGTTGCGTTAGCCACATAATGGATTTCATCTAGAGTTTCGGGTAATTCGAGATCTACAAGGTCTCGTAATCTAGAGAATCCAATGTGGGTAAATCCATTTTCGGCTGCCATTTCTCGTAAAGCCTCCCCGTAAAGCCAGGTGTCTCTATCCGATATACTCAACAAATCTAGAAATGTGGGTCAGTGAAAGATAGTCGTATATGTTTACATAACGAACCGTTATAAACAAGTCCGTCCGAAATGAGGACAACCTTAGCACCAGGTATATATATTTCCTCAATACGCCGACACATATTATCCAATCGAGCCAATGCGATCTCTTCAGCCTTATCAGGTAAGAAACCAAGAACTTTGTAGACCTTGTTCGCTGATTTGAAGGGAAATGCTGGGAGAGACATCTCGATCCGGGCTCCCTCTTTGACGAATTTGTTAAGGACTGATATGAACTTAGGTCTTCCGGCTTCAAGCCGGTCCCGACAATCATCAAATTTGTTCAAAGCGTAATCGAAAATCATCTCCAGAATCGTGGTGGACATAAGAGTAGTGGAGATGTCCTCTTCCGTAGAAGTTGGGAGATCCAGACTTACGATTGCACCGTCCTCGAACGTCTGCGGGATGATATTCACTTGTGCAATACTTTGGACAGAGCTACTGGAGGTCTTGTTCTCGGAGAGGGTGTTGGTAGATCCATTGCTTGTCGCTTGACCATTTGTGGCCGGGGATACATGTGAAACAAATTCCATAGCTTGATAACACAGATAAAAGTGGGTACGTTTGGAAAAGCGAAATCACAGATGATCGTTCAGTGAATGACTCAGAGAACACTTGTTAGATGCTTGATATCAATTTATGTAGCTTCTTCGAAGAATAGCACATGTAATAATTATTGTGACATGATGTCGTGAGGGACTCGCTCTACGGAATCGGTAGTCACAAGGGAGTTGCTATACAGCATTAGCTTTATTGAGCCACTACAAGCTCGATTTAACTCAAAATGCTGACCCGAGCCTAACCTTGTAAAAAACAAAAATTTGCGCAATCAAGCGCCCATTCTCATGCAAGCCCCGTTCGTATGCAAACGCCGTGCTTCTGCATGAAAGCCGCTGGTTACATCAATATCATCAATCTGCTCCATGGTCGTCTGCTCTGACAGACAACTATTGCAAGTCTAGAAGTATTATAAACGGAGGACTTCCAATTGGACTGCTATCGGACTCTTGTATAATATTTACAAGCCTATTATGGAAAATTAGGTGACTGAACACCACCTTACACAAGTTCACATGTCAATCTCACAGGTGTGGGCGGGAATTCATGGCGCATGACAGATCCAGAGTACAAATACCAAGATCATGGACTGAGAGGGACCTGAAAAGTTATCGACTTTGCCTGTTGTAACAGTACAAAGTTGCTATTGAATCCTCAAGACACTTTTTTCACAAACAATAGCATCCATCAGTCACAATGACAGCCAACAATTCACAGAACTTTGGCAAGAGACTGATTCCTCAGATTCTGGAAAGCTTGGCTCTTGCCGAACCAGACCGCAAAATCTACTCCTTGGCATCGATGTCAAATGGTACTATGGTCTTTCGGCCCGTATCTGCTCGGGCCTTTGCTAAGGCGGTCGACAAGACTGCTTGGTGGCTACATGACCAAACGAAAGGACAGAAAAGAAGTCATGATGGAGACGACGATACACATCATGGTGAAACCAAAAAGAAAATCTTGCCAGTTGGTTACATTGGCCCTCGTAAGACACCGAACTTGTGGGGAAGGCTGCTTGCTTATGAACCTGATTAGATGACCTCAGACACATTCTATTGATCTACGGTGCTATTAAGGCTAATTGCGCAGTAAGTTGATGGTTACTTTTATGGGAAATAAAACTAATGAACGTCTCGTCTAGGCCTTGTTTTTGTCCGCCAAGAATACCACTGAAGGAGCACTGGCAGTGCTCAACGCAGCTGAATGCAACATATGGATCAATCCTCAAGGACAACCCACGCTCCCTTTAGTTGAGTCATTTACAAAGAAGAATTCTATGATGGTTCTTGAACTGCCTAGGCTAGAAGACCTTCTCGACACTGAAACTACTGAGCCATTTCCATTTCAGAGCACCTATAATCAAGCTGCGAATGAACCGTTTTGCATAACACATACTTCTGGCACCACAGGGGTCCCAAAACCAATTATTTGGAGCCATGGGTTGATCAGTTCTTTAGACGCTGTACGCTTGCTACCCCCCACTGAGGGTGATTGTGGATTACCTCCCTGGACCGATAATTGGAACGAAGGAGACACCATATATTCCTCATTTCCAATGAGTCATGTTAGTATATACAGCCACCTTGTGGGTTCAGAAACCGAAGCTAATTTTTCGGGGGGAAAAAGGGTGCTGGCATTCTCATGGACGTCGTAGTCCCTGCATTCTTTAAGCTTCACTGCGTTCTGGGTCCCGCCGGAGTTCTGCCCAATATATCACTTATTGAAGATGTTTTGGATTATGGGAAAATCGATATCTGGCATATGGTTCCATCACTCGCCGATGAACTAGGAGAAAACCCAACAGTCTTAAAGAAGTTTAACTCTGCCAAATTCGTTTGTGTCTCTGGTGGTAAGTAATTATTGAATGTATAACTATAATGATAACGGAAACTGATTCTCCGCGCGATTTTCAGGTCCGGTCACCCCAAGCATCGTTACAAGAGTCAATGATGTCGTCAGAGTTATGAACTTGACCGGAACGACAGAAGGATTATTTATGGGCAATCTTTGGCCTGATCGTCAAGACTGGCATTGGTTTGCATTTCACCCACTTGCGGGATTCGAATTTAAAGAAATCGAACCAGGTGTTTACGAGCACTGGGTACACAGACTACCTCAATGGGACTTATTCCAAGGTATCTTTTATACCTTTCCAGATCAACAGGCCGTCAATCTTAAAGACCTATATAAACGACACCCGTCCAAACCCAATCTGTATGCATATAAAGGCAGAAGCGATGATACAGTAGTCTTGTCCAATGGCTTCAAGATAGCGCCCTCGGACGCGGAGGCTTTAATCACGACACATCCTGCAATTGATGGTTGCTTAGTTATTGGGAATGGGAAACCGCAAGCTGGATTACTCATTCAATTAAAGGGTTCCATAACCAGGAACAATGATCTCTTTGACAGTATCTGGGAGACGGTAGACCGGGCAAATCATTCCGGTTTCCAAAAGACAAGGATATATCGAGACTTTATTGCCTTTGCAGAGACAGAAAAACCCTTCATCCGTACTGACAAGTTGACGATTAAGCGACGTGCCACTTTGGAGCTCTACACAGAATTCATTGATCGTTTTTACGCCACCAGAGATTCAGAACCAACCCATGAGGAGTTTGATGTCATCACAATAGACACGACTTCAGACGAAACTGTCCTGGAATCTGTTCGCAAAGTCCTGTCCTCACTAATTCCTGAAATTGAACTCGCAGCGCCAGATGAGGATGTCTTTGACTTGGGACTGGACTCTCTGCTTGTATTTCAAGCAATACGAACCATCAGAGCGGCTACAGGATTGCAAGAGCAGCTTGCCCCTAGGCATCTTTACTCGTATCCAACGCTGGCTGCATTCTCGGCACAGCTTACAACCATATTGCAGCAACAAGCGAAATCAATGACCAAGGCACTGACCGCTGGATATGTCCATAGGTTAGACAGCCAAGCAATTGAGCAGTCGATCCCAGAACACCCAAATGAGTTGACGAATGGGTCGGCAAAAGAAAATAGTGTTCGAAACGCGATACGTGAACATCAGCGACGCACCGGATTCAAAATGAATCCGTTTGATGCAGTAAATCCGAACCATTATATGGGGTTCACATTTTTCTTCGCGTTGCCCCCGGGATCCAACTTCCAAGAAGCTTTCAAGAGTCTTCAAGCAGGCCTCTGCCGTGCTTTTCAATTCATGCCAGAACTAGATGGCAAGATGATGCACGCATCAGAACATGAATTCGGTCATAAAAAGGGCGAATACTCCATCACGATCCCACCTCCTTCAATGGCAACCACCTCTAATCCAAGGCAACTTGTCTACAAGGATATGTCGCAAATCCTGCCCTCATTTCAAAAAATGCGGGAGAGCCATTTCGCGCCTTCCTTGTTTGCAGATAATATTGTACTTGATTGCTATCCCTTTCCAGATATGCCAGCCGACATCTTGGTTGCTCATGCCAACTTCGTGGAGGGGGGATGCATTTTAGCAGCAAACTTTATTCATACCTGCTTTGATGGTCTTGGCGTCATGGTAGCCCTCAAAGTTTGGGCAGAATGTTGTAGATACATAAAGGGAGATCTTTCAGCAACATGTGATTGGTATGACCCCGAAAGCTTTAATCACAATCTGCCTGAGATCCTGTACCAGCAGGAGGGGCACGCAAAGGCAGCCCAGGATGTTGACCCTGCTGTATGGGACTTCTTGCCATTCTTCCCGCAAGATGACACTTTCAAAGGAGATGAAGTTAAAAACAAGAAGACCGATAGCGAGACTTCACTTATCAATCCAAAGTTAGTCTACCGACGCCAACCCCAGTGGCCCACGGCTCCTTCCGATCGCTCGTTAGCTAGCACTTTCTTTTTGATCTCACGTCAGAACCTCCAAAAGCTTAAAAACGATGTCAACTCAGATCCCCAAGTAAAAGGGTTAAACACGTCAATCAGTGACATTGTCCAGGCATTCCTGTGGCGTACATCAATCAGAGCACGATACCTGGTAGCAAAGGAAGTTCGAGGACAAACTTTTGGCCCAAATGAATTGTCTATTCTAGAGATACCAATCGACGGCAGGCTCTACTTTTCCTCCCAACTCCCTTCGTCATACACCGGCAGCTTACTTATCATGAGCCGAACGATCATGTCTGTAGAAGAACTGTGCTCGCCAAACACAAGTCTTGCCAAGGTTGCACATCTGATCCGTAAAACGATCGCCAAAGTCAACACTGACTTAGTTCATGATGCTTTCACTCTTTTGAGATCCATGACAGATTACACAAAGCCTGCAACTGCGAACATGGGGCTTGAGCACATGAATGAGATGATCTCCAACATGATCTTGTGGCAGCCAGAGGATAATATTTCCTCTTTCGGTGAGGGAATTTTTGCAGGAGGCAGGCCAGAAGCTGTGCGGCCACAAATTGAGCGTGGGCATCGACGGTTTCGATTCTCACTCATCCATCCTTTGAGAGCAGATGGCGGCGTAGAACTCGAATTAGGTACCTTACCAGAAGAGCTGAGAAGGCTCCAGACTGATGAGCACTTTACGAAGTATGCAGAACTTTATGATATCAAGCCGGGAACAGGTTGGTAGATGGCTTAGTAAGAATCTAGGTGAATTTGATGCATCTAGATGTTGAGAGATTGGGCGTAGACAGTCTATGCGCAGGAATGCGGTGACAACAGTCACATACTCCATAGTTTTGTTCATGTTAGCTTCCTACAGGGGATTAATTTCAAATTTCTAGATTTATTTTCAGCGCTGTCAGAACGGTTCTCCGCCCGCTTTCGTATAACAAGACTTTGACACGAAAATTCTTCAGTAAGGGTTACCCTGTTAGACTTGTGCTGCAGACTACCAGACTTAGAGAGAACGCCAAATCCCCACAAGTCTTGGTTTTCGGACGCATGAATATGAGTTCTACAATTGGCTACAAGCGGGATAATATGTGCTCACGGCCTGGCCTCGAGAAGAAGCACCACTACTTGAAAGAACGCGGTTTTCAGTATCCTACACTAATGCCAGTAGTTTCTTGGGGTATGAGTCCGATTGGACTGTATGAAAGCCCATTGGTAACATGATATGTAGGTGCCGTTTGTTATGCGTAACAGCTTTATCATCAAACCTTGAGGAGAAACGCCATCACTTTAGAATTTCTTTTCCCCCGGATGTGACCTACAAAGGCAACCAAATCGTTCCATACAGTCATACTATTGACTACACAGAAGTGGTCCGATAGTGGTATTGCCATATTTTTAAGAATAGTGATTACATCTGGAATCACCCGCTCCCCAAAAGCCATCACACTTTTACTTGATGAGCTATACCAGGGTGGTGTAGACCCTCCACATCTACATTACACAAGCTAGTAACGATCGTCGTCTGGTGAGGAGAGCCTCCCCATGTCTTGGAGCGTTTCCCGAGCTGTACCCCCCACGTTTCGTAACATGCTCAGAAAAAGAACCCCGTGTAGCACAAGTTTTATGGCGCGTAGCTGAATGTTTTCCAATATGCCAAGCTTACGCCGTTATGGTTTGCTGGTCCTATCTCCATTTACTAACTCAAACTCCCTCACCAGGAGTAAGCGCTGGGCAAAACTGTCCAATGAAATTTTTCTTGCAATGCTTCGCCGCAGTCACCTATATCAAACAGGTTACTCGAGGCTGCTTATCTGTACCGTTGGGCACGCGGGTTAGACACGGGTGAAAAGGAACATGTTTGAAAGAGCTAACTTGGGTGTTCAGCATTGCTCTGGGAGGTCTTCAAACTTGCTCATATGCATGCTGTAATTAACTCAAAATTCACATATGCGTCTAGTGAATTCGGGCTCGTTTTGGTCAACCGACTGTAACACGAAGTCTAAATGAGTAGGGTGCAAACGGTACTTGCAGCAATGGCTGACTCCTTGAGTAATATTGGTATTTTCGAGCCGTGCTTGGCTAGAAGAACCTTGATTGCAGTAGATTTCATGGAAAGAATCTTGGTTAACAAGTTCAGTGCGCAACAACACTTGCAAAATCACTATCAATACTCTCTTAAACCAGCTTTGCTGTACTATCATCGCTTGCACTTTCAGACTCCATCCCGGCTACCAACGAACCCGCCGACAAGATGTTATCAAATGATCTCGATAAAGAGAATGAAAAGGCCGTTGCTTCTATAACTTTGGAAAATGTCCATGGTCTGTCTCAAAAAAAAGAGATCACAAAAGTTCATGACTAAACAGAACACAGAATTAGCCAAAAGCAATGATTCAATCACCGAGAAACAAAGTAAAGACTCGAAACTCGATGAAAATCCTGAAGCAGCATATGCAACAGGACTGAAATTGACCATGATTGTGGTCAGTCTTCAACTGACAAACTTCTGCATCGCCATTGACAACACGTATACAGCCCTTTCCTTTACCCTCCCTTTTAAGCTCCTACTTTTTGTCGTCTGGAGGGTTCTTGGTCTTTTTCACGGGTCTTGTTCTTTTTTACGCAAATGGGAAAAATGTGTGCTAAGTCTTCCAGAATAATTGCCACAGCTATACCTAGAATTACCGATGACTTCAAATCCTTGGGCGATGTAGGATGGTACGGTTCCGCCTACTTGCTATTTGTTTCGGGATTCCAGCTATTCTTCGGGCGACTCTACAGTTTCTTGAGCATGAAATGGCTTTTCATTACCTGCGTCTTAGTTTTCGAAATCGGATCCTTGACCTCCGCCGCCGCCCCTAACTCATCTGTATTCATCGCCGGTCGAGCTATATCTGGGTTCGGTGCTTCTGGGATTTTTACGGGCGCACTCACTACCATATCAACGATTCTGCCACTCGCGAAGCGCGGTCTGTTCATTGGGCTCATCACTGCCGTCTATGGTGTGGCTAGCATAGTTGGACCATTGGTAGGAGGTGCTTTGACTGATCACGCGTCTTGGAGATGGTGCTTCTATATCAATCTGTAAGTCAATTTGCATCCATTTTTCTCGCTCTATTGATCTAATCTCATATAGACCTCTTGGTGGATTCACCAGCCTAATTCTGGTATTGTTCCTTCATCCTCTAAAGTCACCGCCAAAAGAAACCAAAACCTGGAGAGAAAAAGTTCTCCGGTTCGACCCACTCGGCACGATCTTGTTCGCACCATCAATTATATGCCTCTTACTTGCACTTCAGTGGGGAGGAACAACCTACGAATGGAGAAATAGTCGAATCATCGCCCTCTTAGTGGTGTTTAGTGTTCTTCTTATTGGTTTCGCAGTAGTCCAACCATTGATGGGCGATAATGCGACTGTGAACAAGAAAGCTGTGACTTCACGTCACACTTTATGCGCCGCGCTCTACTCTTTTTGCGTCAGCGCCTCTTTCTTCGTCATGGTGTACTTTATTCCGATTTGGTTTCAGGCTATTCGTGGGGCTTCTCCAGTACAATCTGGAATTGATCTTTTGCCATTTATGATTAGTATCATCGGAAGCATCATGCTTGGTGGTTGGGCTTGTAGCAAGATTGGCTACTACCATATTTTCATGTTTGCACCCATCACCCTCGGAGCAGCTGGTGCTGCGCTGATCTACACGTGGGACATCGATACTTCCACGAGCAGATTAATAGGATATCAGATTCTCTATGGCGTTGGTATTGGACTTGGTTTACAGCAAGCCTTTGTAGCTGTCCAGGCAGGTTCAAACATCGATATACCTAGCGGCATAGCACTTTTGTGCTTTAGTGAGAACTTCGGTGGCGCTGTCTTTGTCAGTGTAGCCCAGAACCTTTGGGCCAACAAGCTTGCACAGAAGCTAGGTCACATTACCGGTATAGATGCAGCTGAAGTCGTCAAGACAGGGGCAATAAAAATTACAGCCCTGACGCAAGATCCTGAAACACTAAAGGTAATCAGAGCTGCTTATAAGGATGCTCTGCGTCAGGCATTCCTGGTTGCTCTTATCCTGCTAGGCATTGCAATGATCGGCACTCTTGGAGTTGACTGGAAGAATATAAAGGCAAAAGACGAAAATGGGGATAAGAAAGATACTCCCAATAATGAGGAGGCTAAAGAAGACGGAAATGGAGGAGAGGTTAAGGTATCTATATAGATGGATTAAATCGAGAGATTACAAGTATGTAAGAAAGAAAGTCTAACATATTACTCTTTGATAGAAAATCTCTGGAATGTAGACTAGAACTATTTAGTCTCGTATTTATTAATTCCAGAAACTCTTGAACTCATAATAATTTTAGTCACGAGAGTATAGAATGATAGAACTTACTAAGCTATTAGAAAGGTAAGAATATTTATAATTTAAATTATGAAGTATACAGATTACTCAAAAAGACTTTTATTTTCATTCTTTCTTTTTACCTTTATTTAAATGCTAAGACGTTAAGACGTCGATACCAAACGCAAAATCAATTAACCGAGCCACCCCCCTGATCCACCCACAAGCCCAATACAGAACCATATAACCCCCGACGGACCACCCCAAACTGCTCGTCAGTCAGACCAGTCCGCAATTTTCTCGTAAAATATTTCATACGCTGATCCTTTACGCATCATCTCGCCACGAACCCTGGCATATCTGAGTCAGCTTAAAATGGGTATGTGATCGGATCGAGGGATACGATGGATAGGTCGGCAGTGTACCTAGGTCTCCAAAATAGCTGATGGATGATTAAGTGTTTCTGTATTTTTCGATGAAGGAAACTTGATGTGTGTACATGGCAAATGTTGTCAAGGTCACTTATTCAACTTCCACTTCTATTTTCTTCAATTGTATCCACAAAGTATACAGGTATTATTCACAAACAACCCCCATCACAACTTCCAACATCACAACATCCAACATCACCAATCCCCACCTCACCAATCCAAATCCAAACAACCTTCAATCAATCGCCCAACCCTTCAACCATGTCTCCAACCCCCACAACCCTCCTCAAAATCCTCACCACAACCTTCCTCACCAGCCTATCCCTCCTCACCATCCTCGTCATCCTCCCCCTCCTCTACAAACTACTCGGTCCCTGGATCCGGGAGTGGCTTGGAATTTCACGCAACAAAACAGGCAAAGGATGGGGATACGGATATGGAAGTAGGTGGTGTGATGGGGTTGAGGAGGTGGAGATGGAGTGAAGGCAAGGCAGGAAATGACCATTAGCGATGATTTTTGAGAATGAAGGCCGTTGAAGGGGGTTTAGAATTTGATACTTTATCCATATTTCATCCGTGGCACATACATGCGCCAGGTCCAAATCCATTAACCATAAATTGTAACACCGGAACCCAACGCACCGTGCTATCCATACCATACCGACCAGTAGTCACCTTTTCAACTTCAATTTCGCCGGAAACAAAACCATACAACCGAGATAACCTCAGAACGTCGCCTTGGCTACCTCCCAATCTCACCAAGATAATTTTAGCCGCCACGCTCACCAAACTCCCTAGCCCAATCCTCAAACTCCTTTAATCCTTGTTTACTAACACTAGGTCGAATATTTACAAGACTGGCTTGGAAATCCTCCGGTCCGATGGGACGGATCTGGTCCATGCTCATGTGTAGTAGTGCTTCACCGAGACTTCGAAGGGGACCCATGGCAGCGTCTTTAGCTAGGGCTGTGATGTCGGAGCCTGAGAAGCCTGTGTATCACGTATTAGCAAAATTTACTAGAAAATGATGTGAAAGGAAATGAAACAGCATACCATCAGTAAGAGCAACTAGCTTGTCAATGTCCTTAGGTCCCAGACTATGTTTTTGGTGACCCAGCAACGTCCTCAATTGCACGGCCCTAGTCTCGTCCTCGGGGAGTGGAATATACTGTCGTCTAACAAATCGTCTCCTTGCAGCCTCATCAATAGCCCACGGTAGATTCGTAGCCGCAAGAACCAAGACCCTACTTGCATCCCCACGTTCTTTATCCTTCTCACTCTGTTCTCTTCCGGCAGCTGCTCTCTGAAGATCACTCCATTGAATCAAAAATTCAGTCTTGATCCTCCTCGTGGCCTCATGTTCGCCCGATCCACTACGCGAAGAGAGTAGGGAATCAATTTCATCGACAAAGATGATACTGGGGGCCAGGGCTTTAGCGAGGGAGAAGAGTGCTCTGACTAGCTTTTCGGACTCTCCCAGGTATTTAGACGTGAGACTGCTTGCAGATATGGAGAAGAAGGTAGAGCGTGATTCGGTGGCTACAGCTCGTGCGAGCATCGTTTTTCCGGTTCCTGGGGGCCCGAAGAGAAGCATGCCTCGTGCTGGCTCACGAAGACCCATGAAAAGATCGGGTCGAAGGAAGGGATAAACCACTGCTTCTTTCAAAGCATTCTTCGCGATATCCAGACCTGCGACATCCTCCCAATGGACTTCGTCGCCCTGAACGACGATCTCATTGAAAATTTGTTTAGCAGCCCCTTCATCAACTCCCTTAGGTAAATTCTTCATCAAGTGAGCGACCTTCAGTTCCCAAGCTGTCTGATTAGGTTCTTTTTCCATATCAGAGTCACCAGATGGAGGTGTTGTCGGGTCAGCCAATATCGCATTCTCTTTCTGCTTCTGTTTTTGCCGCCTCTTCGCCTTAGAAGCCTGATTACTACTGCTATTCGTGTCATCGTCGACACTCTGCGATGAAGTATCTTCATCTTTCGACTGCTTTGTCTCTTTCCGTTGCGCGCGTCTCGCATCATCTCTTTCTTGATGCCTGTCACGATGTCGTGGTGAAGAAGGCTTGTTTGCAACAGGTCTTCTGGGAACCCTGCCAGGACTCGACGGCTGACCGGTTTCTCTCTCGGCTTTTCGCCGCACTGGCATGTCGATTTGTGCCTTCATCTGTTTAGCTGAGGTTTCGGGATACTCTTTTAGATATGTAGGATATGATAATGGCTCCAATTTCGTGGGGGCTGAAGCATGAGGCGGGACCATTGGAGGGGTTCTCTTTGGCGGTTTCGTAGAATTACCTTCGGCTACAGGAGGTGTAGGGGGTTGAATGTCAATTAGATCATGGACGGCCAAACTATTTAGCATAGAGCCCGCAACAGCACCAGGTTGTCCAGGGTCCGTTGGAGGAAAAGGATAACCATTCGACCGACCACTCCCGCTGTACAAATCCGGATTCCCAGTCAATAGATCCGTAGGACTCTTATCTTTGCCCTGAGGACCGGGTACCATAGTCCTCGTCTTACTATCATAGTGGACATTACTGGATGATTCAGATCTGCCAGCAGTAGCATCGCCATGGCTCTCTCTCCTCGACTCGCCCAAACTCGTAGAACTCTGATCAACATCGCCATCCAGACTCCTCCCCAGTCTGTCCCTTCTCTGCAATGACTGCCAGGCCAGAGTTGCAGCTTTGTTCGTGACTGGATTCTCCTTCTTGGAACTCCTCTGTGGTGGTCGAGGACTTGGTTTTCTTCCACTCTTATCGCTTGAACGCAAGGTATGTAACATCTGCCTCCCCTTTTCAGGACTTGGGCTTCTCGACGTCTTTTTGGTTGGTGGTTGTAAGCTTGTACTGCTCGGGGCGCTCGATGCAAGCGGTGCGCTGGTAGTCCGTGAACTACTTCTCATATAACTTCCCATGTAACTTCCATGCGGTTTCTTCCCTACTACCGCTCTCTCGGAACTATTCTTGCTGATCAGACCCGGTCGTTGAGGTAGTGGCGGTGGTTTACTAATGCCCTCGTAACTAGTCACTGGGATCGTTCCGTTTCCAATAAACCCCTCCTTCTGCTCTCCCTTCGGTATCTCCTCCGAAGCTCTAGGCGTGCTTTTTCCCTTCTTAATCTTCCCACCGGCCGCTCCAGCTTCCTCCTCACTACTCAGCTTCTCCTGTCTACTCTGCTTCAGAGCCTCAAGTAGATCAACCCTTTCTTTACATTGCATCTCCATATCCCTCAAACTATCCTTCAACGCTTTTTCGGTCTCGGACTTCGGAATATAACCAGCTGGGACGCGGTACGCATTGTGGTAGTATATTTGGTCGAGGGCGGAGCGCCATGATCGGAGTGCTTCTGCTTCGTTGCCCTATTCATGGTTGTCAATTCTGATGTTCTGGTGGTGGGCTGCGCCTGCAGAAGAATAGCGATAGAGACAGACCTGTCCTTCAAAATACACAGCCGTAGAGCAAATTAAGTAGCATTCATCGTACGTCTTTTGCAGCGACGACGACGTTTTGTTTCGCATCATGGTTGGGTGCTTGCCTACTGAACCCTCATGGGGACGCTAAAGTTATCCCTCCTCTCGAGATGTAAACAATCTTTTGCGATGGCGAATAACGAGGAAACAACGTAACTAACGATTGTCGAGCTTGTATTTGCGATCACAGACTGCTGTCTGGGTTGTCTGCGGGATAATGGCACCAAAGTGGTCTGTTGATGTCTTTCACGAGGCTCGCGGTCTTTGAATTCGATTGCCCACGTTCGACCTGTGACGTAGCGGCGTGGGACGTGCAACGACCCCTTCCTCGACGAGAGTCACTTGTCTGATGCGAGGCACGATTCTCGCTCCCGGGTTGCTCAACTGTGATAATTCAAGTATGTTTGATTTTAGTCGGAATAAATGAGAATTTCCAAATGCTGTTCTCCAGTAATAAAAGTCCAACTTCACTGTACGGCAACGCTCTTACCTAGCAGGGCTCACGGCTCGAAGCGAAAGATGGCTATGCTTGATGGCAAAGCAGTGCATTTCATCGATAGATGCGCGTCTTCTCAGCCTCAATACCAAAATTCATAAACCAAAATTCAGAATACCTGTTGCAGCGGGGCTCATGATCTATCACTGAATAAGAGTCCGGTATTGTGAGTCCTGATCCTCTTCGCTCTCATCTTAGTAATATCGTGATAATCACAGCACTGCTTCTCAACCACTGGAACTCGAGAGCTAGTCATTTTATCATGAATTGTCAAGCTCTATCCACTAAACACCAGCGTTGATCTCATATAAGTACATGGCAGGTATCGTCCCCTTCGAAATCTAAACAGCCTCCTGCTCGCAGATGCATACACATTCATCTCCCAGCGCCCTCGTGTACGAATCATTGTCCAGAGACAATCGACAAGAGCAGACATAGTACAGAAATTAAACGCCCTTGATGGTTACCCAGCTTTCGTTCGATGGTCCGCTGAGTGGAAGCAAAAGTTTCCCCGAGTCCCGAGAATTTATCAATCACAAAGAACTTGATCGGACAGCGCTTGTTGATCAAGCAATCCACTCATTTCCTGCCCGCCCAAAAAGTGACCAGAGAACCGCTCTAGAGAAGGGAAAAGTATGGTGATAGAATATTTACAAGCTCGATGTTGATTTTGTTGATTTTGTTAATTTTGAAAAAGACGACAGCAAACGAATCATTCGAAAACGCCATTGCTCGGTCTTGCGTGTGTGGTAGAAGTGGCAGTATCCAGAACGTTGATGTGTTAAAACTTTCGAATGTGGGAGGAAGCGCGTTTGAACGCGGAGTTCGGATCAGCAATCGATATATTTTACTTTTCAAGTGAGAGAATTGTCGTCAAAGTTCACAATTGTTCTCTAGTGTCTTAAATAGTCGCGTCATTTTTAGATATGAAGTAGGCCCTGGTTCCACATTAGTTTCGGTGACAGAAAGCATGATCACAATATACATACTTGCAAGCTTCGTAAGCTGACCAACAGATCGCAGTGCTGGGCATCGCAGTGACAACGCGTGGTCTTACACCTTTGAAAAATCCCCGGAAACCCTCCCTTTGATACAATATTCTTGCGCTGTCCTTGAAACCGCTGACATTTCTCAATTCGGTATCTGTCGCTGTGCCTCTCGTCTGTAGCATAGTTTTCATGACATCCATAGGAGTGGTAAGCGCAGCTGCGAATCCTCCCGCAAGCGCACCAGCAGTACAATGCGACAGTGGGTCATACTTTTTGGCGGGGTTCATGGTCGTAGAAAGCGTTTCGTATGCTAAGAATTGTAATGATGTATATGGAATTGTCATCGAGAGTGTCGTCGGATACGAGATGAAGAATGCCTTAACCCCTTCACGTTTGTAAATGTATCTCGCGCAGTCGGGCATCGATTTGTACATTTGTCTCGAATTATGCATTTGCATACGCTGCTTGATTACTGAAAAATATTAGCCTGATGCTAGTCGCAGGCATCTCATAGTTCCTACCGTCAAAGGGATTCATCAAGGCGTCGCTAACCGTGGTTGCGCAAGCTCCGCTCAGTGCTGTCGGTTTGTTAGCCAGGCCGCGCAACTAGAAATTCCACCAGAGCTCACCAGCAGCAAGAGGGTGATGAACACCAGCTTGGTTAGCGCCCATCATATGCTTCACAGCTTCGTAAGTCAGGAAATAGACAGCATGCGCAGGTCCTATCAAAACGTGAGTATCTACCATTGCTTGCCCATCGCCCATTGTACCTACCAGCCCCAACCACCACGCTGGACATTCCTCGCCATAGACTGAGGATTCCCTCCCCCGTGGCTATCCGATAGCCTCCCTGTATCATTCCATTGTAAACGGCAGACGGTGTAGGATTCAGAATTTGCATGCGTGTCTGAACCATAATTAGCCCAAGGACCCCGAGACCAAGGCCAGCCATATTTTCATACCTTGATAGCATCAATCGGATACATAACCGTATGTTCCTATCAGATCATCAGTCCCCGACCACAATCGCATTCGTTCTCGACCTCTAGCAAGACCTACAGCTATACCAGCGAAAGCGCCCGCCGTCAGGTTTTGCAGCACCGAGAAATTTGGTGGCAGGCCCTCATAGCTGCACCACGCATGTCAGCGGTTCGCAAATCAATGTGGGCGTATTGCACCGGAAGTTCTACATACTCGTACTCTTCCACAGGTTCTGTATTTGGCTGGGCCATTTGGGCGGCCGCGGCCACAGATCCTCCTCCGTACGTCTTGGATTGCAGAGCCAGGATGACGACTACCAAAGAGGATAGCGGTAACGACGGTCGATTGAATATCGTAGATGGTGGGCGCAGGAACTCGAACGGTGCTCCTGGAGCTTGACGAGTCTGCGGTTGGGGGTGGGGGTGGTCGTGGGCGAGTCTTGAGAAAATGTCAAAAAAGTCGTCGAGCGTGGATGATGAATGAACCTTTGATGATTTTGGCTAACAGGGGAGGCAAATGACCGCTCGGCGAACAAGACGAATTCGCCGTTCGTAAATACTGACTTCCCAAAACGTGGGATTTTGTTTTTGAAGCAATCAAATGGTATAATGAGAAATAGAAATACTGAGTGTACCTGGAATTGATTATTTCAAAAGCGTTTGTTGTCTCGTACGTTGGTGTTGGTCAGAGATGATGGACATGCTCGATGGACCGCGTTGCTGCCGAGACCAGACTTGCACTAGAGAGCTAGGTACTATCTCCTCTTTGAACTTGGAACTTTCCCCTCTGCTTCCACAAGTCTCGAGAGAATTACACATCGTGCCTCGGAATCTATCTAGGCGCCTCCAGCTACGTCTAGGCAATTTAGTCTCATCAACTCCGCTTCCCAAGTCTCGACAATAAACTCGTTTTCTTGACAACCAGGGCACGCACACGCATCTCCTCGCAGCCTCCGTAATCGCAACAAACTCCTCGGATCTGATAAAAATCGAGCTGCAGCTGCGCACAGTCCACACGCTCTGGGGCCCGGGGAGCTCGAGGAAAACACTCGCAGCTGCAGCCTCATCGTCATTTCAAGGCCGAAACGTACGACCTTTGATCAAACTCACACCACAACGCAACGCGCTTTCTCAATTCCCATGTAGAGTTGTTTAGATTCCCATGTATTGGATGCCAGCTTTCTTCTGGGGATCTCTGACCTGCTGTAGCGGATTTTCCATTATCCGAAGAGACAAATCCTGCCTACGAAATATTGTCTATTTCGTAAGTAAAGTTTACACCGCTCTTAATTATATCCCAATGTAAGAGAATTTAATGGGTTTTATATACCCTGCGTGGATGGTAAATCACTGGCAATCAAGCCAAAAGAGAATCATCAGAACAGGAAGACCGTAATGAGGTATAGATTGATGATAGATGCTTCACTAATATCGATAAAAAGTACTCCTCCAATGCGCGCCCAAAAATAACATACACCAAAACACCGATGCGTCGTGCCAATCAGATATTGACACCAGCTCTATCCGTTTGCGCCTTCTGGTATTCGTAAAGCAGACCCAAAACGCCTACGCCAGCACCTGCATGATCAGCTTCGTCCTCCTCATCAATGTCCGTGCCTCGAGTGGGTGATGTTTCCCATCTCGACTCCCCGAGTCCAGCCGTACTCTCGAATGGATCTCGCATGGAAGAACTCCGCTTCGAGAGTCGTCCAGGTCGTCCACTATCTTCATCTTCTATAGCTTCTTCAGCTATGTTATTCCGAAGGTGATGCCGTGATTTCGCACCACGATGGACACTCCGTGCCCCGTAACTAGATTGATGAATGGGATCAAGAAGCATAGATGTCATGGGCGACCCATGTGTCGGTACAGCTCCGAATCGAGGAGTTCGCGCGGCTTGGGCTAAAGCATTTGGTGCTCGTATGGGACGTCGTTCACTACGCCCCATCCTCGACGACTGCAAATCTGCAGCGAGAGATGGAGATTGCAGTCCGGGGAATGTAGGCGGGTGATTGAATTCATACCGCATACCGGGCGCCGCATGTTGGTTCGAGTTAGGTTTTGCTTGGTTAACATACTTATCAACAAAGCCATAATACGATGCGGTCATCTTGCCATGCTTTGTAGAATAGTAGTCATCTCTGGCATCGGCCACCGGTGCCTGGCCACCGTTCCTACCGTCGCCACGTTTGAAGTCGAACACCGCAAAGGAGCACACGTAACCGACTCCGTCGACGTGGACCGTAAACTCTCGGAAGAAATCGATAATTTGGTCGGCGCATCTCGGAAGGCTGACACCGAGCACAAAAGGAGTAGCAATAATGCAGAATATCTCTTGAAAAAATTGCAAGAGCTTCATTTGATAAAGTGATGAGAACTCACGCATCACATCGTTTGTTTCGAGGCGGCCCTCCCAATGAGGTGGCCCGTAGTGCGTGTATTGGATGACGGATCGCATCTCCTGCTCAGGATCAAATACCCCGTTTGGCTCTGGAACGGAACCGCTCATAACTGCCCATATAGCACCAAGTCCTGTAATCCACAAAGCGACACTAGTGTCACCAGCAATCTCAAAGCTGAAAAACATCTCTGGGTCTAAAAGAGCAGCAATCGATAATACGGCAATGATTGATCCAGTCACAAACATGACGAATGTCGCGAAATGGCCGGTCTTGACTTTTGGAAACTGCTCCAAATAGCGGGTTGCGAAGAAATAAGACATGTTCAGACGCTCGTGAAACATGTGCTCCAATTCATTGAATTCTCGGAATTTCCACTCTGCTAGCGGAGTATAAGATCTTTGGCCAATCGTCGACGGATTCTTTTTGTATTCCTGTTACCGTTAGTCTATTTCAGCTACTTTCCAGCAGAAAAACTCACATTGAAGTAGCGAAAGAAGAAGAGGACCATATAATAAGGTACCACTACAGGTATGGCAAAAGCGTTGAGCAAGGCACAGATTTTGAACCTGCGCTTCAATCCATCACTCAATTCCCGTCGCTTAGAGTCCTTCAAGAATAATTGAGACACTTGATTAGACTGGAAAAAGACAAAATCCATGATGGTAAAGTCAAGCATCAACAACAGATGTCGTGAAAATAACTGTCGGCCTCCCAAAAATGGTAATGGCAAGGTTAGATCTAGGATCTCCTTGTTGAACATAGCAATCAGGTAGTTCTCTCTCCGCATGAGCCTGTTTGCAATGTCATGAGCGTCCAGTCGTTCTTTCGAATTCTTTCCAATGAATTTGCGGTTTTCAGATGAAATCTTCTCCACCAGGCTTGGATTTGCATCTCTCATCGCCATTATTTTCGCGACAACGGTCTGCCAGGTCACCGTCTGCATCTCAATCTCTGGGATCTCGAGAAGATGGGTAAAGAAATCGCGAGTGCGGAATAATCGAGGAAGTATGACAAAAACGAGGCTGTATAGTTGAAGGAGCACGTAAAAGCAAAATAACCAGATGCCAAAACTGGTAAATCCCGAGATCTTCGTTGTACACTTCGGTATTATCACCTCAGACAGTCTCTTTTTGCTCGGTATTAAACGATAGTCAACACACTGCGTGAGGAATACCAAGAACACCGCCAAAAACACCTGCTTGCTAAGACGAATTAGTCTCCTGTGGCTGGAAACAGCGGAATTGACTTACGCAAATGACAGACTTCTTTCAAGCAATATACACGCGATCCCCCGTCCCTTATAATAGTCGTAAACTTCGTGCATAAAACCATCAATGTCAACAACATTATTCCATCTCCACATCGCCTTGTCTTTTGCACTGCCTATAAAAAGCCTCGCATTCGTTCTTCTCGGCGTCTCGCCAATGGACGGAGCTCTATTTTCTTGATGAAGTTGCTGCTGGGCTTGAGCAGTCTCCCAGTGAGCTCTATTTTCTCTGCTCGGTGGTCCTGGAATTGCAGATGAACGTTTTTGTTTCGAACTTCGATGTGTCGTCGGCTTGCTCGTAGTACTAGGACCTACCATATCGTTTCCTTCAATCAAGAGTGATTCAGGTACGTCGTCCTCCTCATCATCTTCCAATAGTCTGGGGGATTGTGATAGAAACACCGACGCCGGCCCATCGTTGCCATGCCGCCCATCTTGTCGACCCTGCGACTGGGCTCGATCACGGTTCAAGAATGTCGTACTTGTAGTGGTGATTCGACTATCCTCGCCATTAAAGACCTCCGCATTATCGAAATGATCATCTGCATATCGCAAATTCTCCTCGTCCAGCGCCAAGCCAGCTTGATCTTCAATATCTAACTCGGACGGCTCGTCGTGTGCTCTAAGTTCCTCGTATATTGACTGTCCGTTGTTCGTTGGTAAGAATTTCGACAGGAGATTCGAGGTCATCATATTGGCGAGATGCGAGAATGCGGCAACAACACTTTGGTAAGACCGTCTGCCTACCAAAATGCAAATAATCTAGCTATCGTGCTGGTACTGGTGCTGGCCAGATACCCAAGAACTAGCAGAAGTTCCCCAGAAGATGCCGTTATCAGCTCGTCCAACACAATAACGTCATGCTGGTTCAAAGAAAGAATGATAAGAAGTTGGGCAGCAGCTTCCACGTATCTGCCATGTTATGTGAATCTCACAAGACGACCAGATAGATGGTGCAGATGCCTTGTTGAATCACCGTATGGAGATGGAGCACACGCGCAAGAGGCGAGTGACTACTTCCGGGAAGCGCTAGCAAGGCTGCACCCCATAAACACCCTCCCCGTTGCTCAGCCTTGTCTTTGTGGCCACCGAACCAACAGGGTGCCAATTGATCTTGTCAGGTGACTTACGTTCCTGACTGAAAATGCTACATTTCTCAATATATGTGCGTGCCTCAGGCATAGAAGACAACCCAAACACCTTGCCATAACAAAACTTCAACCACACCCTTAGCCGCTGGATGTTCTTATTCCTGCGATGGTCGATTATTTGACTCGTAAGCATTCGGGTCCGACTGGTAATGTTGAACCACCGTTATCGCCTTCTGGAGCTCAACCATCAAGAAGCAACCCACTCGCAGCAAAAGTCACGAGTGTCCTTTCTGCGTCCTATGCAGACTCGGATTTGAGAGACGCACTAGATCTCTTGGATCAGCGCAATGTAGTGAACAATGCTGAGACCCGTCGGCAAATCCGACTCGATGTCCAGAAGGACGTCATTGAAAGTAATGGAGATATCATCAAGGAATTTGGTCATGTAGCGGAGGTGCGTTATCCAGGGAATAGGGTCGAGAACTTAGGCTTATGCGTGGCAGCAACTCCGGCGTATTGGACTTACTATTGCAAGTCTCAATCAGGGTTGTGAGGAGATGAAGCGCCATATTTCTTCGGCTCACCAAGAAACCGCCCCAGCGCTGGAGGAAGCGTCCGAGTTGATGAAGCAAAAGTCTCAGGTCGAGGAGAAACAGCAGCTATTGAAAGCTTTCAGCACACATTTTGTTATGTCAGAAGATGATGTTGCTTCCTTGACTTCCACGGCTGAACCGGTCGACGATCGCTTCTTCGCAGTTCTGAGCCGGGCCAAGAGGATACAAACGGATTGTGAGATTTTGTTGGGAACTGAAAACCAGCGACTGGGTCTCGAGATAATGGAGCAAACCTCTAAAAATCTCAATGGAGCATTTCAGAAGCTCTACCGATGGATCCAACGCGAATTCAAAACTCTTAATTTGGAAAATCCACAGATCAGTTCTTCAATTAGACGAGCTCTCAGAGTCTTAGCCGAAAGGCCATCTCTCTTCCAAAGCTGTCTAGACTTTTTCGCCGAAGCTCGAGAACACGTGCTTTCAGACGCTTTCTATACTGCGCTGACGGGAAGATCCGTAAATGGTGAAGAAGACACTACAGTGAAGCCTATCGAATTAGCTGCCCATGATCCTCTTCGTTATGTTGGAGACATGCTAGCATGGACTCACTCAGCAACCGTCAGCGAGCGAGAAGCACTCGTGGTGCTCTTCATTTCAGATGGTAATGAGATTGCTAAGGGTATCCAGGCCGGTAGGGAGAGCGAGCCATGGAATAAAATTGGAGAAGACGATGGCGAGAACAGCGAGTTTGACGGAAATAAAGCTCTAAATGAGCTCGTTGATAGGGATGTTGCTGGGGTCGCAAGAGTGCTCCGTCAGCGATTCGGGCAGGTGATTCAAAGTCATGAAGAAACTATCCTGGCCTACAAAATTGCGAATCTCCTCAACTTTTACCGCGTCACATTCGCAAAGCTTCTTGGAAACGATTCTATCCTCCTAGAATCTTTAGCAAGCCTCGAAGAAGCTTCTATGCGGCAATTTCGGGTGTTGATGCAAGACCACATTGCCGGTCTACAGGTTGAACATCAATCCCCGACTGCAAATCTAAGCCCACCTGAATTCTTTCAAGATGGTTTGAAACAGCTTAAGGCTATAATGAAAACTTACGAAACTTCTTTTACTCCAGACGATACTAGAGAGGCAGACTTTGTTTCTATATTGAAAGAAGCTTTAGATCCCTTCATCGAAGCAAGCAAAACCATCTCAGGAGATCTTAAAAAACCTGCTAGCATCATATACGCGATCAACTGCCTTTCATTAGCGCTGGATACTCTAGTACCGTTTGATTTTACACAAATTCGAGTTCAGGAGATCCGAAGTATGATCGAAGGACATTCCGCCGAACTAGTCGAATATCAATACTCCTATTTCCAACGTGGTTCGGGTCTACAAGCTCTACTGCAAGCATTGGCTCCGTTATCAGAGAGCGAAGAAGACATCAAATCAATTCGGACCCTAGGGCCGTTCCGACCCGATGCACTAACTCAAACTAGTCAGTCATTAGACGACTTCCTGCCTTCGGCATTGATGGATGCGATGGAGAATTTGAAATTTCTGCAGAGCTCTAAGATTGCGAGGCACGTTACTGAGCAAGCGGCGGATAAGTTTTGTGAAGATTTTGAGCAAATAGAGGGAAAACTAATTGCTTGTGATGAAGTCTGCGGTCAGGATAATGATGAAACAGAGGAACCCGAACCATTACGTGCTTTCTTCCCTCGTACGAGTGGTGAAATCAGGGTTCTACTCTCATAGTATGGGACGAATCATCAAGCCTTGATGATTCGTGACGGTCAAGCTCAAAATAGCGGGCAACAATACACGTATATCACACAGGAATAATCGTTCCTTGGATCATGTGCAATATGTGTAGATTATGTATGTGCATCATCTTCGAACATCTCTATATATACATTGCCGCCATGCTTCTTCCATTCGTTGTGTCTGAGAAATGCTCGAATGGGGCATTTAGCGCCTCTCTAAACGCCTCTGCATGATCTAACGTAGACAGTTCCTCCTCCAGAATTCTCCAGCACGTTCCTACCACCTGAACCGGAGAGCAAGCACTTGTCGTTTAATCGATTTGAGACATTACCCCCTGATATATCAATCGCAAAGGTCACTTGACGTTTTCCCCTCTCCCTACAAACTTATAATGTACACTAGATCATCCCGAATTCCTCGAATAAACCCAACCCATAGGATCAAACAGCGCCCCTAAATACCCCTCCCCCATCCCAAACTCATGCACCACATCCTCCGCCTTCAGCGTCCTCCCAGCTTGCACCATATCATACACCTGCGCATTGAAATGCATATCAACACCACACTCTCTCCCCCTCTTCAATAAATACCCAGTGATATACTCAATCTCCGTTTCCCTATTCGCGCGCACATCCTGTAACATCGAAGATGTGTTCGCCGCAGTTTTGTCTGCTACGGCTAGGACTTTCAACTCTAATTCCTCGATGGAGAATCGAGTGGGGACGTCAAGATCTTCGGATGGATCGAGCGCACGGATTTCTGGCAGATTTTGGAGCAGTTGCGATATTTCTGATAGTAGGAGACGCATGAGCTGTACGATTGGGGGTTGTGTGAATAGTTCTCCGTTTTTGCAGGCAAATATAGCTGTTAGTGGGTTTATGCAGGCGTTGACTACTAGTTTCTCGAGTTTGCGGAGGCGGAATTCGGGGTAGGGGATTGTATCCGCGTTGAGGATGGTGGAAGATGTGAGGAGGTTTGTCAGTGCCGAGTTGGTTTCATTGAGTCCGGTAGAGGAAGAAAGTGTAAGTTCTGCTCGTCCGGCTAGGATTGACGAGAATGGACCATTTGAGAAAATTCCATGGGTGTTGATTGCTTCGATAAAAGTTCCAGTGTCTTGTAGATGGTATTTTGGGTTTTTCGTTGGCTCTTTTGAGGTTGGAAATATGCCCATCCCATTCTGTGTTAGTAGGATCGTAGACTGTGGATTCAGTCGATGCTTGACTGCCGAAAGAGCGGAAGCAGTTCTTGTCGCTTTTGTTGCTACTATTAAGTTTGAAATGATATCTGTGGTTGATGGTGAAAGGACTTCGACCTTGTACTCCCCCGATGCTGAAATCGTGTTCCCGGTAGTGAGTGATATGGTTTGATTGGCCTTTTCCCAGTCATCAAGAAGACTTTCACGATGTAATAACAGCGTTACTTGAGGAGGGTGGGGTACTACTGAGATTTAGTAACCATATGTCTTCAAGTCCGGGATATATCGAGAGCCCCTGTTGAGCATTCTTACCGTTCGCAATAGCATGAGCGAAAAGTCGGCCAACATTCCCTACGCCAAGAATATGGACGCTCTCGGCATAATTGGTCGAACTGTTCATTTCACGTGTATCGTACCAACCTCCTAGAGTCTGACGAATGAGCTTGGAACCATACCGATCACGAGGATTTCCGAACGAAGCTATTCGTGTTCCTCTTGGAATATATCGAAAAGGAGACGATATCATTACTCTTGGTTAGAAAGACTAATGCATTTGCACAGCACAGCGTTCTTTCGTGAGTGTCTCTGTACGTTGCGTTGACGAGTAATCGCGCGACGATGTTTTTGAAGTGGAGCAGGAGCAGATCAGCTGACATGTTTTACTCAAAATGAGATAGGACTTTCGAAGAACTTTTCCGAACACTTGAAAATATATTCCAATTACTACTTACCGATCTATCGAGACTCCAAGCCATTAAGAACGAATGTTCCCAAATTAATTTTGGGACTGGACTTCGACATGTCAATGACTCCTCCAGAGAGTATCTACCTCTTCTCTTTCGGTCAGAGCCCGGAATGTTTGTCGGATCCGGTCGGCTCCGGAGTGTTGGTAATTAAGCGAGATATATATATCCGGTCTCAGTCTTCAAAAGTGACAAACATTACTAATGAGTGCGATGATTTTCTCTTTCTATTGTCCACATCTCACAATAATACCGTATGAATTGTCCCTCTTGGAGTGAAGATTTCAAATCACGGAGAGTTATGAAGTCCATATCCCGAAGCATTATGGGTTTTCAAACAGTACTTTAAGGACTGAAAATGCCAACAATACCTTTTACAAACAGTTCAATACGATCCATTTCACATCCTTTTACATACACCAAATCATAAATCATGACGCGACTTATCGTTGTAGTTGGCGTTACTGGAGTACAGGCGAGTGGTCTTCAACTCATCTGGTTATTACTCTTTTTTAGTACTAACCAATGTAGGGATCTGCTGTTGCTCATACGTTCTTAGGACTCTCGGAATGGCGAGTCCGTGGTATTTCCAGAAACAAATCAAGCGAGGCATCTCAAACACTCATAGCCAAGGGAGTTGAGATTATCGAAGCCGACTTAGACAACAAGGAGTCGCTCATTCCTGCCTTTGAAGGTGCTCATGTGATTTTCTCCAACACAGACTTCTTTGGGCATTTATTCGCCGCGATGGTATCGAACAATGCTTCTTCCAGCCGAACTCCGAATGAAATTGCCTACGATCTGGAAGTCCAACAGGGAGTCAATATTGCAGAAGTTGCAGCATCACCCGCTGTCATGAAAACTTTGGAGCGATTTGTCCTCTCCTCATTATGCGATGCCAGAAAGGCGAGTGGCGGAAAGTACACCACTATATATCATTTCGACACAAAATCGGAGATGAGCCGTGTTATCCAGAGTCGTTTTCCGAAATTGGCAGCACTGATGAGTTCCGTTCTGATGGGACATTATGTTACAAATTGGAAGGCTTTTCCAGCCATGGCTCCAATCAAGCAGCCTGACGGCGGTTTCGTGATCTCCAGACCAGTTCCGGCCGACCAAATGTATCCTTTTGTAGTGGCGCATCGAGATACCGGAGCCTTCGTCAAGGCATTGGTTGATGCGCCTCCAGGGCTGAATCTTATGGGTGCATCTCAATTCATGACTGTATGCGACTTTCTCCTTTGTTCTCCCTCCTAAGCTCCTGCTCTAATTGGCTGCGAAAGAGTTTCATCCTCAGACACTCCTCTTTTCTCTTGAAACATAGAAATATTCATATGCTAACTTCTTGGAGTGGCCAGAGTGGACTAAGACGTGGGGAGATGTTCTTGGTGTAAAGGCAGAGTTTAAGACGGTACCAGCGGAAGAGTTTGTAGAGGGTGTACCAAAACCGTTGGCACAAGAGCTCTCGGATACATATCTCTATCTCGAAGAGTTTGGCTTTGATGGAGGTGATTCATCAGTTGTAGCACCTGAACAAGTAAGTCTCTACCTTGCCACGGGATCTGTCTCTTACTAATCGCGTTAGCTCACTTTCACTGTCCCATTGACGACCAATAAGGAGTATATCGAAAGTGAAAATTGGTCGTCAGTTTTAGAGTCCTAATTTGAGCGTCCTATCACTCTTTTTTATAACCTAGTGTTCCACAGACAATCACCTATCTCGCTATGCTTTAGTAGCTTCTATTACTTATTAGCGTAGTTCTGAATCAGACATACAATTTTGTGCGTCAGACTAGTTGTCTAGGCTCTAGGCTCTAGGCTCTATGTTTTCATGAATACTAGACTCCGGGACGAGTGACAGATCAATTAAACTACATTATTGAAGTAGAGTTCTGTGAAATTGCCAACAAACCTCTAGACGGTTATCGAGCACGTGGTTCGCTGTGTTTAATGAGGTTTGTGAATCGTGATTTGATTTTTCCCTTTGTTTTAGACGTGGATTCGGTAGAATTGATATGTAGACATAACTAAATTCGATAAAATGTATATATTCTCCAATATCAGTAGCACTATATCTAGTACCTTTGTTAGACCTCACGTTGGTCTCCGGACATATTCTAACAAAGTAGTGGTGTTGGTGTGTATGCCTTACAACGCCGTAGGAGAATCAGCCATTATTGCACCATACAGGCATCGACAACTGATTCTCCTGTCGTAGCAAGTCTTTTAAGCAATAAAAAGACCACCATGACACCGTTCCACTTGACAGCCATATACTTACTCCGTGGCAACCGAGACGAGATTAACTTCCTCCGGCGACACTTTTTGAATAGTGTAGCTCTTCCAACCAGCCTTTGGCAGGTCAATCTCCGGTTCTTCTGCTAAGAACTTCATGAACACGCCATGTGTTACAACAACAAAATCAGTTTTCTCCCCACTGTTCGATTTCTCACCCTGTTCTACCAGGCCTCTCCGCACTTTCCTTGCCCGCTCCTGCACTGCTTCGTCGTCTGCAGCAAAAATACCGTCCTTCGACGGCCAGGCATCCCCCAAGCCGTCAAAAGTCAGCCTCGGGAAAGCCTTTTCCAATTCCGCTCGATCGGAACCGGTGTCACAGGCTAGTGCACTACGCTCTTGTAAAAGCGGTTCAATTATCAGGCTTGCACCGTTCTCGACACCTTGTCCAGAGCTCGAATCAAAGTATTGTTTGTCAAGAATGCCGGAAAATGCAGTGAGAGCAGTTTGGATAGCGCGTCGGAGAGGGGAGGTGATAACCACACCAACGCGCCCGGCGTACGGGAATGATTTACCAAGTTCTGCAGCTTGCTCAAAGCCGAGCGAGGTCAAAGAAGGGTCGAGCTTAGAAAAGTCTTTGGTGACATTGTGAACAGATTCGGCGTGTCGGACGAGATGGACTTGGCTCCCGGTCACCATGGTGGAACGTTGGTTTTGACACCTTTGACATCTGGTGCATCAATGTGAATCAATGAATCACACATGTTGACAAAAGCAAAAGGAGCCAGCTGCTGCGATAGAGCCAAGACGCGGTCGAGGAAAGACGCGACACACGCTCCTTTGCACGCCATAGCACGTGTATGGAGGCCGTATCTTCATTTGGTCGGCATCTTCCAGTTCAGCTGGAAATATGCATCGAGGTTATCGCCAAGTTCCTTGGTGAGCCGCACGTGATCGCACGTGATGTCCAGATGCGAGAGTCTCTCGTCGTCGTCGTCGCGGTCTGAGCCTTTTGATATCAAGAGAAGAGTGGAGTGCCCTTCAAAGCCCACACACAATAATGTCCTTCGCAGTGCGCATTCCTCGCCAGCTGTCTAGCCACCTCTCCCGTCTCCGTGATCTTGCCCGGCAGTCTCCTGGTGATGCGGCCCCGCTTCAGGGAAACTACAACTCCCTTCCCAATCGACTAGCTGATGTCTTCCTCCGTACTTGGGATCTCGGCTTCACAGCTTTTGGCGGCCCGCCAGTGCATTTCCAGATCTTGCACCAAAGATTTGTAGAGGGTAGAGGTGGAAAGCAGAAATGGGTGGACGAGGAGACTGTGCGTAAATATCACATGTGTTATTCCTACATATGCGAAATTTTCTTGTTCTGAACGGACCTAGGCTGACGACCAAATATTAGTATCAAGAACTATTTGCAATATGCCAGGGTCTCCCAGGCCCCGGGAGTACGAAGATGATCTTCTGCCTCACATTGCTACACGCTGGCTTCATCCCAGCTCTGTTTGTCTTTTTGATCTGGAGGTGAGTTACACGACTTTATTGCCGAGCACTCATACACCGTCCTGCTCTCGAGGAAGCTCACATACATGTCTACAGTCTTCCCGGAGCAATCGGCATGTACGCTCTGTCTCTTGGTGTCCAGCGTATAAATGAGATTCTGCCCTTACCGGTCTACGCCCTTCTTTCTGGACTAAATGCTTCGACCGTTGGCATCGTAGCACTAGCCGCCGTGCAGCTTGCTGAGAAAGCAATCAAAGATAAGCTCACCCGTATCCTAGTACTTTTTGGAGCGTGTGCAGGTCTATGTTACAATGCATTATGGTACTTCCCCGTGCTAATGCTCATCGGTGGTCTCACCAGCGTCATCTGGGACGGCTGGATGAGTCAAATGATAGGCAAGGCGAGGGCAAAGCTCAATCGAAGAAACAGAGACCCAGAGTCCACAGGAGAGGAATTTGGTGTCACTAATACTATTCAGCTTGATGACCGAACAGACAGCCACGATAATATACATAGAAGGAATGTTACTGCTGCGGGCTCTATCAAATCAAGCAATACAGCATTGGATTTGCAGCATACTTCTGCAGGCAACTCACGGTTAGACGCAGAGCAAGCTGCCAGAAATGATGTCTCAGACCATGTGATCCGTATCAAGGCTGGGATCGCGATTACCGCTGTCTTCTTTGGTAATCATTTCCCATTCGCTCTTCACATTTTTGGACATGCTGACCTGGGGTTGTAGCTTCCTTTACGGCCATTCTTGTAGCACGAGGCACTCTCGAGGCCCCCCCGCTCGCTCTCGATCTATTTGCCAACATGTATCTGGCCGGTACTATCATCTTTGGTGGTGGTCCAGTGGTTATTCCCCTTCTTCGTTCATATGTTGTCGATCCCGGCTGGGTCAGTAGCAGAGATTTTCTGATGGGTCTGGCAATAATTCAGGCCTTCCCTGGTCCCAACTTCAACTTTGCTGTATACCTCAGTGCACTTGCGTTGCAACGCTCGCAGTTTCCAACTGTCTTTAGTGCGTTCTTAGGCTTCCTTGGCATTTTCGTTCCTGGAATCACACTAGCTGTTGCTATGCAGAGCTTCTGGCGGGTGCTACGGACAAAGAAGTGGGTAGTAGACCTACTACGAGGAGTAAATGCGACAGCCGTGGGCTTAGTTTTTACGGCCGTTTACAGACTGTGGGAGATCGGCTATCTCGTACCTGAAGACAGTCGTGGACGGAGTTTGGCATCGGAACCATGGTGGGTCGTAGTTGCGGCAGTTACATACGCGGAGAGTGCCTGGTTCAATGTTCCCCCGGCCGTTGCCATTGTGATGGGCGCCGTGTTAGGGCTTTGCTGGTACGGTGCAGTTGGACGATAATGGTCAAATTTACCGCTTTCTCATACTGTTATTATCTATACTATCAACGTCTTCTTGTAAATAGCTTTGGAGTACTATTTTTAAACTATATGGACTTGGTGGATTGTAGTAAATTATGAAATTTTAATTTCCTTAGTTTAGTGATACTTTAGTAATACGCATTATTTATTTATACCTCTGGAAGATGAAATTCTTCTATTTTCTTTTACTAAATTCGACTAGCTTGTACTCTAGTTACATTGTTACGTTGTATTTTACAGAGACTTGGGTTTTCTGTGCTCGCTTAAATGGTTAAAGGGGGCCAACACCAACAAGCCAAACAACTACAATAGCAATAGTCACATTTCGACGCACACGCAGTTGGCAACCAGCACATGCATTTATATCATAACCCTACTCTTCCCTCCTTTCCAGCCATCATCAAAATTTCCTCCCAATTAATTCCTCTCCTCTTCTTGAATTGAGTGTCCTCTCATCTCGGCTATTCTACGTGGTATCATCTGGCTTCTCTGCGACATTTCAACCCGCCAAAAACAAAACTTCATTGTCCATTAACAGGGCTGGTTACCTCTCCCAGATTTTCCCAGAAAGAACCCTTCTTTGGCTTAGACTATGTAATTGGAGCTCATTTAAACGTTCCCATAGTTCTCAGCACCACACCCGCTGCGGCAAAACCTTCGCATCTCGTTTCATACTGCACACTCAATCAACACTCGTGATCCCAAGAATGTTCGAGTAATAGAATGTTCGAGCAATATAATGTTCGAGCAATAATCCGCGGGATAATTAAATGGGGTGTAACACCACTTCGACTACCCGGGATGGATATGTTTTGTGGTGAGGGAATTATTACCTCTGATGCAATTGTATGGGAACATTCGCGCGTACTTCTTAAGGCTGAGACTTAAGCCCATATTTCGTAATCCCAACATTGTACAACTCACCACATTGGAACTTGCTACCAAGGAGTTCTTCTCTCACATTACAACGGATGGCGGAACGGTCGCTTCACAGCCTCTTTTCATTCAGTTGGTAGGTAATACATTCTACTCGTTGATTCAAGCGGCACGCTCGAAGTTATTAGTTTCTTCATACAGCCATATAGTTTCTGTTAGGGCCTGGTTCTTTATCAGCTCTGAGAGGCTCTCACGATGTATGGTAACGATGGAGGTTTCATCTACGACTTCCATAACGCGATGTTCTGCTTCGGTATGAGAGTTATACTTGATCGTCTCCGGGCTTTTGTCCTTTGAGGAACGACGAAAAAGGGGTTCACGTCTTTTCACTCCCAAAACTTCTATGCTTCTTCACTCTGAGAAACGGAACTTGCGAAGACTTTCGAGCTCCCCGGCTAAACACGGTATCTCCTCTTGTCGGGCGCATCTTACTCACTGACGCCACTGTCCCAAGCGTTCTCGACCCCTTAGTTAATTTTTCCATTTCTGCAATTGTCGGTACCCTTGCGAAGATTTGCTTTCACGCGATGAAGTTCTCTTTGGACTGAATTCGAATGAATTCCATCCAGTGCGATGGGAAACCGTTGAAACGCATTTATGGGGCTTCATAATGTTTGGGAGAGGGTCGAGATATTGTCTCGGTAAGGATAAAGCTATGCTGGAAGCGTGGTACGTGATAGTGAAGAACGCGAGGCACATTGGAAGATTGAAAGTCGGGACGAGAAGGATTGTCAGGCTGAAAGAGGCTGAGCTGAAATTTACATGCCGGAGTAGTAATGGTTGTGAATTGGCTTTGTTTGAGGAGTAAGTTGCTATCTACACTTATTGAAAATATCGTTTATAATATCCTGTTTATCTTACCATATCAGTGATATAAGCTAGAAACGGCTGATCCAATCAAAGAAACTAATGTATAGAGTCTAATAAGGTATTTATTTGATTCAAAATTAAAATTAACAAGTTTTAGGTAGTAGATTTATGTATCCCTCCAGTTCAAATTGGATAAGACCAAATCAAAAAATCACCCATTCGAAGTCTACAAATCTCAACTTCTCACTTCCATTGAATGGCCACATATATCGAGGGGATGGCCAACACCGAGACTAGAGACAAATTCATGATTGTTTCAACATTTTAACACTATTGAGCCTTAACTTGATTTCATTGCAATCAGTACCTCTTAAAAACACTTTTACTTAGAACATGCTGATCCTTTCCATCCACGAAATCTTAACCATCTGACACTTTCTCTCAAGATCTACCCCAGAGTGGTTTGTTATCTGCATTAGAAATGTTTTCAGTGCTGGCTTTATTTTGGGCGCCATCTTCCAATTGAATGTAATTGATATCCTCAACTGTCTTCTTCCGTGATGCCGGCGCGGTGAAGTCCTCACCAGTATTGCTTTTGCTGTTTCGAATCCCTTGGATTCAGCAGTCGTGACGCCACTACGGGAACCACGTATGCGAGACCGCATAGATCTATAGACTGAGGATCCGTACCTCTTTGCTTGTGCTAAGACACCTGGTAAAGTCGACATACAAGCTGCTATGATAGCTATATTGATTTCAACACAACTAATAGGTATAAGAATTAGCGGACTATGACGAAGATCGAGGGGTTATAGGATAGGAATTTCATCTTACGTTAGAGACCCATTCCAAGCAGCGTACCAGAACTTGTCTGTCCGACGGAGGGTTCTGTCAAGAAGAATCAAGCGTGCGATTGATACACCACATGCCACAAACCCAGCGAGGAATATAGCGAGAAGACCAATTTTCTGTCCTGTTCGAACATGCAGCTTCATTATACTAGGGATACGAACAAGGAAAACAAAGATGTCGGAAGCAACATTGAATGCTGATTGAAACATGGTCATGGCATATAGATTCTTGCAAACGCCGACCTTAAGTGCTGCTGCGTTGACACAGCTTTTCAACAGTGCTCCCTGAGCTCCGACGTACGCGATATAGAAGAGAGTAAAAAAAAGCCATTGAAAAGTAGCACGTAAATCGGACGAATCGGTTGACGCCAAATATCCGGATGTAGAGCAGGAAGATGGAGAGTTTGACGAAATAGATCGCGAATGGATAGATGAAAGATGTAGAAGCAAGAAGCAAGAAGCCGTACATTGGACGCCTGAACAAGAATGCTGGCTCGAATATCCCTAATGTGTCGTCCAAAACCCAGGTGGAGCCCATGATATTGAATGATCGAGTGTCCTGTGGATCCAAGAGCAGCCATCGCGCAAGTGTCTATGATAGTTAAAGAACCAAGTTAGAATGTTGAGCTCTAGATAATGGGAATCAAGAACCAAATGATCTCAAAAGCTTACAGTCGTCCCATCCCATGGTATGCAAAATAGCCCCCTTAGCATACAATCTCAAGAGAACTGCAGTCCATACTATTGTCAACAAAACAGTATTTAACGAGATCACTAGGGCATCATGATTTGGGGGGTTGATGAAATTTGGGTTGACTCCAGCTGGTGGTGTTCCACCAGGAAAGTTATACAGAACACTTAGGGGGATTACAGTCGCCGACATGATGATAGTAGCCGTTTGACTCGAGCAACAATCCACAAACCAACTACCTTGAGATTTTGTGGGGTTTTTCTTGTGGGGGTTTGAAATAATAAAACTACTTAGTTATCACTTAACACTATAAAAGCTCTATACCTCCTATAGATCCTAAATTATCGCATAATATAACTATCTATTAATAACTACTTGTTTTATTAGGAAACGATACGAGCATGTACGATGTGATATGAAAGTAGAAGAGCAACAGGCTTTGCGGGGGATAAACCGAGAGCATCAAAGGTAACTTTACTATTCCTTCAATATTCCTTCGAACGACGGCATGAGAGGCACAGTTAGCGGGTCGATTTTGATGCGCCGCCTCTTCTTTGGGGGATAACAATCGACAGTTTGTGGTAGAAAAGCACGCCTTCATTTTCCTATCATAAGTGGGTAGGGTGCGAAGCAGGCCGTCTATGGCGGACCTACCCTACATGAGCCTTTCCAAAATCAAATTTTTACAAAAACACGGCTCGTACGTGGTACGCCATAGGTAGTCGTCTCTGCTTATCACGGCATTGTGCTTATCTCGACGTTCTGCTTACGCCGGATATGGAACTTGTCTCCGATCACAGAAATATTCGCGTTTTGGGGGCTGCACTACCTCACACTCTCAAGTAAGCACAGCCTGCCATTTCACTAGACAAACCCTCAGAAGCAAGCCAGCTTACATTATTTACAGTATTACCATGTATGTGCCATGAATGGTGCATGGTTCGAATTTACTCTTCGGTTCAGGTTTCCTCTATATTCATTCTACAATGCTAGAATTACACGTCTTAAGCCTTCTTCAAATCCCTGTCTCAAAACACCCCTGTTGCTGTGGCTCGTAGGATTCCAGCCCACTTGCCATTAGCTCCCAGAAAATACACCTGCGTTTACGAACGAAGTGGTACAATGGTCACTTCAACGTCGTCTCCTCTCACTGGTGCCACAATTCCCAGGCACGGCTTCTTCAGTTCCAGCCGTGGAAACGTCGACTCGTGGTCGGCTTTGAAAATATCGAATCGACTCAACGTTATCCCAATAAAAGTGAGTACCTCTTTTTGAGCAAGAAATCTACCTGGACAATGTGTTGTCCCACTACCGAATGAACGGAAACTTTGGTTTTTGGCGAGGGATGGGTCTCTTAGAAAACGAGTAGCATCAAAACCGGCTTCATTAGAGCCAAGACCTCTTCGTTCATGAGGATTTGTCGATAGAGGATGAGTATCATGTTTCCTGGCTGAAGGAGCTTGCCACCTAACTCAAGGTGTGCTATTATATTTCGAGCAGAGACTGAGGAGGTGACAACCTGAAGTGTTTCCTGGTAGACAGCAGTCAAAAGGGGACATCGGTCCAAACAGTCACTGAGAGCATTCGGAGATTGAGCTATGGCGACTACGGGAGCCACTTCCTTCTTAATAGCTGAGTAGAGTTCTTGGTTCTCGGCTAGATAAGCCATTATCCAGAAGCAAACTTTCCAGGCATTCCCGTTAATACTAAATATTTCATCAGCTTGTCAAGATGTTTCATCGGGATACAACTTACACCCAGTAAGCCATCATCAAGTTAGCAGCTATGTCAACATCTCCGATACTTGCTGCTCGCATCTCCTTTTCCAACGTCTGTACCAGCCAGCAGCTTCCCGGTCTTTCATCTGCTGGGGACTGGAAGTAGGCGGTCAGAGCATCAAGGGAACTCTGTTTTGCTATTTGCATCTTATTCGGCCAGGGCCTTGGAATCTTGTTACTAAGTTGCCAACTGCGTTCATCAAATTCCGAAAAGTCATCGAGGAGTCCGGGGTTGCGGGCTAGAAGTGCTTCACCGAAGAAAGCATTGGTCGCTCCCTCGAGCGGCGTTGCTTGAACCCATTGAAGCAAAGAAACCTTGCATTTGCCATCAAGAGATGATGATAATACAAGTTTTCTATCATGCCTGTTGTTCCATAAATTCTCAGCGGTGAGCAATAGGTGCATACTGCTGAGGAATTTATGCTGAAGTTCGTTGAGAGGATTTCCAGGATGAAGTTGCTTTCGAAATATTTCTTCCGAGAGCTGTCCCAGAGGTTTTCCGAGTGGATTGGGATAGCCAATTTTGGACGGAAGTCTATTTTCCTACATCTTACCGATACCTGTTTCTGAGGATCCCATTGAAGCCATCATTGCTTTCACATAATCGTTAAATACCAGTTCCCGCGTATTCTTGCTCATTATTGCGGCATCACTGTATACAGGTGTACAAGTGACATGACATTCAATTCTTGAATTTTTTTTAGTTAAAAATGTTACTGGTAAGCCCCCAAAGTTGCCTTCTTCGGAATGTTTCCCAAATAGGAAGTCTCTTAAGCAACCCCCGCTTCTTTGTGTGTTCAAGGAGCGACAGCGCATATCATCCGCTTACACTGCCGCCCACAATGTCAAAAGCGGCTCGTATGTAGCAACTATCCAGGAACATGTGGATATCGAGCTGAAGCTGAAGAGAAATCTGAGGTAAAATCCTCCGCTCTAACTACCGCACTGCCGGGTACTAAGACGCCATCATCATATGTCATGGGTGCATGTAGGGAAAATCAAATCCCACGTGCTGGGATCTTCATTGCTGTTGCTACAGTGCAAGTATCATACAGCGATAAAATCCTCGTTGATTCTACAGGGTATCTCAATCTCCCCCCTATTTTATCATAATTAAAACGTCACATATTTTTCTACAGCGCGGAGTTCACCATTCTTCGTAGTCATGAATTGCGTCAACATATTATCAAGAAATGGGTACGAAACTCTGGGGAGTGAATATTTCAATATGTGTTCGTGAATATTTCTTTCTGTTTGAAGTATACCTTGAGCTCAATAACTAATTAATGCCAATAGTGATGGTTATCTTGTGTTCAGAAACACTCCTCAACGTCGCAATCAAGCATTCTTCTATCCTCCGCTCTAAAACCTGCACTCCAAGTACATGGCGAGGCTTCCTCCTTGGTGTTGATTTCGCCTTTGAATACCCCATCGTCTTCTCGACTCTACCATCCTTAGTCCAAACTCCAAGTCGGGTGATCTGGAGCTCGAACCCTAAGCCCATGGACTTGATTTTCCAAATTAGTGTCCACTTACTCATTGAGAATATGTGTTCGACTATCTTGCCAGCATTCTCATCTACTGAGGAGAAAAAGTCATCTGCTGCTGCTGCGCTCTCCATGGAGTTTTTGGCACCCCGAATAACATTGTTGTTAGGAATCCCGCTACTGGAAACCATTCTCCTTGGCAGAGTGGTAGGAGGGCAGTTGCATTTTGGGGGTATCATCGGGTGGTTAGTTCTGAGACATTATCTGGTCAAGAGCAGGCTATCGGAACCTCTTGTCCTCCATAGTGAGAATGAGACAAGATGCATTAGAGCAAAAGCAGGAATTTAGGTTATATTCTTAGATTGAGAATCATGTTCAGGCTCACTAGCTGCGTTTTGTGGAAACATACTCTGTGACGCAAATGAACTTCAAATAACTAAAAGAATCTGCTTGATTCAATTCCAAAGCATTATTGTTTCAGAAGAAACAGATCTGGGCGCTGGCGCCCGGCACCCAGGTTATTCATGCATTCTTTTTTGATTGAGGCCGATAGAAAGACTTCCCGCTACGCTCGATAGCCTCCATCAAGCTAACTTTTGGCTTATAACCTAAGACCCTTTTCGCTTTTTCAATATGAAATGTTCTAGTCATGCAACTAAACTTGATGCCCACTCTGTTTATCCGCGACTTCTGCTTTCCGAATGACATGATCCAAACTATCCACTCAGAAATCGCGGCTATCAAGATTCCAATGGCTTTCGGCATCGATCTAACATCCTCCTCTTTAGTAGCATATCCAGCAGCATTTCCGATCAGCCGAGCGAACTTCCAGAAAGAAATGTGCTCATCATTCGTGATGAGGAATCCCTGACCAGCAACTTTCATGTCATCGGAAGCTGGTGGGTGGACACGGGCGTCAAGCAAAGCTTCCGCAGCTAGGAACTGCGCATGAATTACATTCTCATTGAATGTCCAATCGCATTCGTTTTTGCCGTCGCCGATCTGCCACTTGTATTTGCCTTCTGCAGCACGTTTGACGAGTTCGCCGGTAACATAGTCTCCCTCGCCGAAGATCATGGAGGGCCGAATGCAGCTCGTTAGCATACCCGCTGGGGTTGTGCTATTCGCGTTAAGAACGAGCTGGTCTGCTACTGCTTTTGAGTGCGAGTAGATTTCTGTTTGGTCTGGGAGATAGAGGAGGGGGAGTGAGTCGTCCCCATCTGTCATGTCGCTAACGGAGTCATGAACAACCGATGCACTGGATGTGTATACGAACGCTTTCACACCCAAATCCTGTCCAAATTTCTGATTAGCTTTGCTCGAACTGTTGAAGACACATAAGATGCTGTCGATTACAGAAGCCGAAGCCGAACTTCTCAAGATCACGAAAAATCACCACCTACTTTAGCACACTCGATTAAATTGCGTGTGCCATCAACGTTGACTCTCATGTAAAGCGGAAGGTCTGAGAGAGCCGCAGGCGGTGAAGCTGTGTGGAATATGACTTCTGGGCGTGACCTTTCAAGGGCGGAGTATATCTGGTCTTTGTTTGTGATATCGACATCATAATAATTCACATCTTGAATTCTATTGATCTTGGTTTGAATGTCGAAAACGGCTACCTGGGGTGTTGGCTCAAGCTTGAGGAGCTGCTCAACGGTTCGATGGCCGAGAGAGCCACAGCCTCCAATCACGAGGGCAGACTGGATCTTGGTCGCGGTGCTGGGCATGATGGCGACGTGGAGGAAGGATCGGAAAAATTGTGCGGGTTGAGAATAGTCATCAGACCAGCATATAACAGACGCCCGTTGCCGTCTCAGGGATAAATGACTGGGCAGACCATCCCAAAACAAAAAAAAATGCGTTCACGTAAGCTTGGTTGCTTACATGGTACTAGTCCGACTGCAGTCCCAACTGCATCCGAAGCAACAAGGATCAGGAATATTTACGCTAGCATTGCACGGTTGGGGTCCTTTCGTACTTCGTATAAGCTCCTAGTTGTGGGTCACCTGCACTATCAAGGGAGGTTAAGCGAGTTCCCCCCCTATATCCGTACTTCGTACTTGTAGATTTTTTGGGAAGTTTTTCTACCGAAACAGCCCCGCTACTATAAATAATACTAGACTAAGAATTCTATAAAGTATAATATAAATTTTTTCTATTTTCTTTTCTCTAAAGTCTTAACATTCTAGATTTACCTATTACTATATCTATAATATAGACTTACTCTCTATATTTTAAGATAGCTTACTACTATTTTAACTTTTATTTATAAATTCTTAAAATCTTAATAAGATAAAGAGTTAATATCTTTATAACTTTAGTATTTACTTTTATAGATTACTATATATCTAATCTTAATATAAATAGAGGTTATCTTTACTAAAACTTTATATTTAAAGCTATAGATTATTTTAGTACTTATACTATATTTCATATTACTAATAAAAATAGTCTACTATTATAATTTACTTTCTATAAAAATCTTTATAAATTATATAAGCTAGATATATTATTTAATTATTTTTAACTATATTTATATTTTACTAAGTTTATAGATCTTAGTTATTCTAGATTTTAGTTAATATTTAAGAAATTTATTAAATAAAACTAATTTTTATAAAATTAAGTTCTTTAGAGTTTAAGCTATTTAAAGCTAATTAAATTAGTCTTATAACTATTAATATATCTTTTAAATAAGCTTTAAAGCTACTTAATAGTATCTCTATAGCTTTAAGTAGTTATATAAACTCTAATAATTAAGTTTTAGTAAATAAGAGAGTAGAAAAAGAAAGTAGTTAGTAATATAGAATTTAATAATTAATTAATCTTATAATCTATACTTATATACTTTATTTTCTTTATAAATTAAGTACTTAAATTAATTCTTTTATATTTAAAGTTAGTTTAATATTTTTTCTTATTTTTTTTTATTTAAAATAAAGTTATATAATAGCTAAAATTAATGTTTATAATAATTAATTATATAGTTATTTTTATCTTTCTAGTAAACTTATATCTATATAACTAGATAGAGAGAGAAACTCTAGTATTTTCAATTACTTTTCTAAAGTTATTAAGTAAGCTTAGAATACTTATTATAATAATAAAGACTATAACTACTTTATATTTACTAGTATAGATTAAGCTAACTATATTTACTATTTAGATAATCTAGATACTAAATTACAAGATATTAATTAAATAGAAAAGAACTTTAATACTAAGATATAATAGAAAATAAAAGAAAACTTCTTTATAAAGTAAAATAACTCTATTATAAGAGTAGTAATAGTTTTAGTAAAAGGTAATATTTTTACCTCTTATTTCTTTTATTATTAAAATACTATAAATTAATTAAATAAAAGTTAATTTTAATATTAAATTTATTCTTATAACTCTTAATTATTTAAAATATATTCTAGATACTATAAATAAATAAAGTATTATAGGCTAAGCCTTTAGTTAAAGTAGTAGAGTTATTTATAATAGTTTATAATTACTAAGAAAGAAAGAGAGGTAGAGCTATAGCTTCTTATATATAGATAAGGTAAGTAAAGTAAGTTATATATATATATATATATATATAACTCTAGCGTAGACTATACTAAGTACTACCTTTAGGTCTAACCTATTATAATACCTCTCTTCTCTACTTATAGAGGCCTCTTCTATTATTACGTCTCGTTTGTTATCTACTTATAGCTTAAAAAGCTCTATTCTCTAAATACTCTTATATATACTTACTTAGCGGCCTAGTTCTAACTCTATATATCTTTATCTACTTAATTAATATAATTAAGTACTTTTTTATTACTTATCTTTAAAACGACTATATCTCTATAGTTACTTTAAAAGTATTTTCTTTTTCTTTTTTTTAGAAATAGTTATATTTTACTAATACTATTTTATACTCTCTTTTACTAAGGTCTAAGTATTTTATTCTTTTAAGTATTTAATCTACCTATTTAATAATAATATTATAACGATTCGGTTCTACTAGGGGTAGACTAGAGTTATCGTAAGGTTAGTATATTAAGAAGTAGGCGTAGGATTATTACTTATAGATTTAGAGATCTATTTGTTATAATAAGAGTAAGTTAAATAGATAATATACTATTACTATAGGTAGTTAAGTACGAAGCTCCTATCTAAGGAAACTACAATTATTATATAGAACTTCCTACCTTACACTCTACGTAGGCGTAGTCGACCTAGTCGTCGTAGTCGACACGGTCGACACAGTCGACCTGGCGGCCACCTACGTGACTCCCGTAGAGTTAGGCCTAACTACTTACGTGACGGTACCTTAGACCGGGGCCTATCCGCTAATATAAATATTACTAATATTAACTAAATTAAGCTATTAAACGGCGGTCCTAGGAACTACTCGATTCTCGTGACCTCGTCTAATCCTAGGACTTTTAGTCCTAGGAGTATTACGACGCCGAGGCCGACGCTACTCGTAACAAATATATATACTTCTCTCTCTTTCTTACTTCTTATCTAGAATCTTATCTACTTTATAGTAGTCTTTATTTATAACTAAAGTTAGTTATAGCTAACTATTATTCTAGATCTAACTTAGTAATAGGTCGCTTACTATAAGCCGTAAGAGCTTATTATAGAAGATATTATATACTTTTAGTAGAGTATTTAGATAGTAAGAGTATATACCTATAGTTTCTAGAACTATATATTTAGTATATTTTATATTTAATTTCTTACTAGGCCGATTTACCTTTATATTTTTAAGGTCTAACTATATCTTATTATTTACTTTAAAAATAGAGACTTAACTTCTTTACTTATTTATCTAGTCTTCTATCTTCTACTAAGTAAGTAACTACTATTACTACTTATATAAAGTCTTAAGTATTCTTTAGCTTCTTTAGAATAGTATTAGCTTTCTAGATTAGCGACTATAGACTATCTTTATTTATAGTAATTTTCTTATTAAACTAAACTAGTTTAACGTAGTAACTATAATATAAGAAAAATAGACTTACTTCTATAGAGACTATATCTTTATTAATAATTATAGGTTCTATATATACTAGTAATTAAGTCTATTTCCTCTAGTTAAAGTCTATAAAGTTCTTAATATAATCTTTAACGTTTTTGTTTATTTTCTTAGTAGATCTATCTATCTCTAGATTAAAAGCTATAGAGAGTCTCTATAGAATCTTTAGCTTCTAATAGATCTATCTCTATAAGAAGCTTATAAACTAAGTTTATCTATTTAAAATAATAGTTTTTAATAATCTATATTATTAGTAATAAGTAGTTATAAACTACTTAGTAACTATCTTAACTATAATATTATCTAAAGATTAAAATATAACCTCTTTTATTAATCTATCTATTATTACTATAATATTTATATAACTATTACTTTTAAGTAGTTTATTAATAAAGTTAACTAATATCTCTAACTAAGATTAACTAGAAACTAGAAGTAGTTTAAGAAATTTTTATTATTTATCTCTCTAAACTTTACTTCTTCTATAGATATTATAATTTTTTATAAACCTTCTAACTAAAAGAACTATCTTATAAGAGTAGTATTAATTACTTCTTATTCTAAATATCTATATATAATTAAGTTATATACTTATTAGATTAGCTTTATTCTAAGCTTTTTAGAATTAAGTACTTATTATTTTCTATAGAACTATAACTTTTCTATACTAGAGAGAGAATACTTATTTATTAATACTTATTATTTAATTTTAGCTAAAAACTTTCTTATTCTCTTCTATATATATTCTATTAATACTTAGTAAATCTTATTATTTTCTTCTATAGTCTTCTAGAGAGTTACTAGCTCTTTATTTACTAGTATTCTATCTAGACTAAAAGAAACCTCTTCTTTATTAGAAGCCTTACTTACTAGAATTAAGTTATTAAAGGTATTTTACTTTTTATTCTTTAAAGTACTACTAGTCTTATCTAGTTATAACGATTCGGTTCTACTCGAGGTAGACTAGGGTTATTGTAAGGTTAGTATATTAAGAAGTAGACACAAGATTATTACTTATAGATTTAGAGATCTATTCGTTATAATAAGAGTAAGTCAAACTAATAATATACTATTACTATAAGTAGTTAAGTACGAAGCTCCTATCTAAGGAAATTACAATTATTATATAGAACTTTCTTTCCTTAAGTTCGATAGGTTCGCTAGTCGAACCCGTTAAACTCCTAGCCGGTTCGATAGGTTCGCCTAGCGAACTTATCGAACTTTCCTCGTTACGTGACGGCACCCTAAACCGGGGCCTACCCGCTAATATAAATACTACTAACTTTAACCGAATTAAGCTATTAGACGGCGGCCCTAGAAACTACTCGATTCCCGTAACCTCGTCTAATCTTAGGACTTTCGGTCCTAGGAGTATTACGACGCCGAGGCCGACGCTACTCGTAATACTATCCCTTATTCGGACTAGCGGGTCTATACGCTTAAGTACGACTAAGAAATACGTCGGTTAAAGGCTATAGACTTCCCTTCTTTCTAATATACTACCCGACCGTATAACTAAACGTTCTAATATTATAGCCCTTAGAAAATAAATTAATTTAACTAGGAGAAAGATAGCGCCTTATTCTTACTACGAAAAGACGGGAAAAGAGTATATAGTCTCTCGAGACCTAAAATATAGTTGTTATAGTACCTATATATCTATAAGAAAGTCGTATAACGTTAAAGAGATAAATCGAATACCCTTAG